CCCAAAGCACCTCACGGAGCCCCCAAACCCCACTTCGGGCCCCATAAACCCCACTGTGGACCCCATAGACCCCATTGTGGACCCCATAAACCCCACTGTGGACCCCATAAACCCCATTGGGACCCCATAAACCCCACTGTGGACCCCATAAACCCCACTTTGGGCCCCATAGACCCCATTGGGACCCCATAAACCCCATTGTGGACCCCATAAACCCCACTGTGGACCCCATAAACCCCATTGGGACCCCATAAACCCCACTGTGGACCCCATAAACCCCCTTGGGCCCCCCTCCGCACCTCTCCGAGGAACCAGGCCACCAGGAAGCCGAAGAGGACGGCGTCGTTGGCCTCGCGGTCGTACCAGGGCACCCCAATGGCGCAGCTCTCCCAGAGCTCCCCCTTCCAGCGCTCCAGGCTCCAGGCAGTGGCTCCCACGTCCAGGAGCACCACGGCCGGGCTGCCCTCGATGAGCCAGCGCCCAAAGTGCACCTGCACCCAACAGGGCCCCATGGAGCAGCTCCCACCCAGGCCTGGGCAGCACAAAGTGGTACCCAGAGCACTCAGCAGCGCTCAATGGGGTCCCTTCAGCATCCTGCATCCCTAAAGTGGTACCCAAAGCACTCAGCAGCACTCAGTGGGGTCCCTTTAGCATCCTGCATCCCTAAAGTGGTACCCAGAGCACTCAGCATCCTTCAATGGGGCTCCTTTTAGCAACCTGCATCCCTAAAGTGGTACCCAGAGCATTCAGCATCACTCAGTGGGGTCCTCTCTATCGTCCTGCATCCCTAAAGTGGTACCCAGAGCACTCAGCAGCGCTCAATGGGGTCCCTTCAGCATCCTGCATCCCTAAAGTGGTACCCAGAGCACTCAGCAGCGCTCAATGGGGTCCCTTCAGCATCCTGCATCCCTAAAGTGGTACCCAGAGCACTCAGCATCGCTCAATGGGGTCCCTTCAGCATCCTGCATCCCTAAAGTGGTACCCAGAGCACTCAGCAGCACTCAGTGGGGTCCCTTCAGCATCCTGCATCCCTAAAGTGGTACCCAGAGCATTCAGCATCGCTCAATGGGGTCCTCTCTATCGTCCTGCATCCCTAAAGTGATACCCGGAGCACTCAGCAGCGCTCAATGGGGTCCTTTTAGCATCCTGCATCCCTAAAGTGGTACCCAAAGCACTCAGCATCCCTCAGTGGGGGTCCTTTTAGCATCCTGCATCCCTAAAGTGGTACCCGGAGCACTCAGCAGTGCTCAATAGGGTCCTCTCCATCATCCTGCATCCCTAAAGTGGTACCCAAAGCACTCAGCAGCACTCAGTGGGGTCCCTTCAGCATCCTGCATCCCTAAAGTGGTACCCAGAGCATTCAGCATCGCTCAATCGGGCTCCTTTTAGCATCCTGCATCCCTAAAGTGGTACCCAGAGCACTCAGCATCCCTCAGTGGGGCTCCTTTTAGCATCCTGCATCCCTAAAGTGGTACCCGGAGCACTCAGCATCCCTAAATGGCTTAATGTCCCCAAAACAGATGAAATATCACTAAAACTAAATTAAGTAACCCCAAATGAGTAAAATAACCCCCAAATGGGTGGAATAAATCCAAAAATCGGACTAATTTCTTCAAATCAGTAAAATAACGCCAAAACTGATAAAATAACCCCAAAATGGGTGAAATAAGCCCCAAAGCGGGCAAAATATCCCCCAAATGGGTAAAACAGCCCCATAACAACCTAAATAACCCCAAAATAAGTTAAACAACCTCAAAATGGGTGAAATAAGCCCCAAATCGGGCAAAACACCCCCAAAATGAGCAAAATTACTAAAACACTACTAAAACAGGCCCAAAATGGGTGAAACGCACCCCAAAACGCAACCAATGCCCCCCCCCACTTTGCTCCCCAGCGCCTGGTTTGGGGGGGTGGGGAAAGGGGGTGGGGGAGGGGAAGCGGTGACCTTTCCCGACATTCCCGGTAATGGGAGCTGGGGGTGGAGGGAGCTAAAAATAGCCCCGGTGAGGGGGGGAGGGGAGGGCAGCACCCGGAAGGGGGGGAGGGGAGGGGGCACCCATGGGTGCGGGGCCCACCTTGCAGCCCTGCGCGTTCATGGCGGCCAGCGTGGGGGGGGAGGGGAGGGGGCACCCATGGGTGCGGGGCCCACCTTGCAGCCCTGCGCGTTCATGGCGGCCAGCGTGCGGCGCAGCGCCGGCTGCGGCGGCTCCAGCAGCTCCACCTGCGTGCGGACGCTGCTCTCCACGTAGGGGCCCACCAGGACGTAGCTCTCGCCCCACTCGTCCGCCGTCACCCGCGCCTTGGTCTGCAGCACCGTGTAGATGCCGCCCACTGCGGGGGGGACACACGGGGGCCGCCATGAGCCCACAATGCAACAGGGCAGCAATGAGACTGCGGGCACTGGGGGGCGCCATGAGCCCACAATGCAATGGGGCCACCATTAGCCTACAATGGGGCCCACCATGATCTCACAATGCAATGGGAAGGGGCCATGAGAGTACACTGCACTGGGGCCCACAATGACCCCAGAATGCAACTTGGGGGGCCACTGGTGTATGGTACACTGGGGGCACCATGATCCCACAATGCAATGGGGAATGCCATGCGCACACAGTACACTGGAAGCCGCCATGATCCCACAATGCATCAGGGGCAGCCATTAGACTACAACTCAATGGGGGCTGCCATGATCCCACAATGCACCGGGGCCTGGCCGCATCCCCCCAGGTCAGTAGGCCTCAGAGTATCCCATGATGCACCGGGACCTGGACCAACCCACACTGCCCTGGAGGGGGGGGGGGCACATCCCACAATGCCTCAGGGAATCCCACTCATCTACCCCAGAGTCCCCTGGGGCACTCTGGCCCCTCCCCTCAGTTCTAAGCATGATGGGATAGCCCAGACCCCCTGCTAGGGGGGTCCCATAGGGGCCTATGGGGGGGGTTAGGGGTCCTGGGGGGTGCTATGGGGGTTTGGAGGGTGTTGGGGGGTCCCATAAGTTCCTATGGGGCTCGGGGGGGGGTCCCCCTGGTGCTCACCCTTGTTGGCCACCTCCCAGGCCACCTCGAAGAGGACGACGTTCTCGGGGGCACCGGGGCCCCCCCACTCCTCCAGCCCCGGGAGGGAGCTCACGGAGACGCTGCGGGACAGCGGCATCGCGCCTGGGGGGGGAACCCCAGAAACAGGGGGGGGTCACCCATAGGGGCTCCCCCTGCACATGGAAACACCCCTGCAGTGGTACAGCCCCCCAAGACCCCCTATACACCCCAATAACCCCCCCAACATCCCCCATAGACACCAATAACCCCCCCAACACCCCCTATAGACCCCAATAACCCCCTCCAACACCCCCTATAGACACCAATAACACCCCAACACCCCCTATAGACCCCAATAACCGCCCCAACACCCCCCATAGACCTCAATAACCCCCCCAACACTCCCTATAGACCCCAATAACCCCCCCAACAGACCCCAATAACCCCCCAACACTCCCTATAGACCCCAATAACCCCCCCAACACCCCCTATAGACCCCAATACCGCCCCAACACCCCCCATAGACCTCAATAACACCCCAACGCCCCCTATAGACTCCAATAAACCCCCAACACCCCCCATAGACCCCCCCGACTCACCAATAACCCCCCTTTGACCCCAATAACCCCCCCTCCTTACCCGCCCCCGGCTGCATTTAGAACCCCCCTCCCCTCCCATTGGACCCCCCCAGAGCCCCCCAGCACCCATGGGTGCCCCCCAGGTCATAGCCCCCCCCCATAGAAGGGCCCCCGGGGTCTCCCCCTCCCGTTTGGGGGATCCCTGGGGGGGTCACGTGCTATTGGGGGATCCCGGGGGGGTCCCCTCGTTGCCCCCCCCCCCCCGCTCACCTCCCCGCGCTCCCGAAGCCGATCGCGCACTGACCCCTCCCGCCCCCCGTCGCCCCTCGGGCCCCGCCCCCTCCGCCGAGGCTCCGCCCTCTCCCGGCGCTGATTGGACGAGGCGAGGCAAAGGGGTGCCGACTGGAGGGGGGGGCCCTGGAGCGGAGGGGGAAAGCTTAAAGGGGCGAGGGGAGCCTTAAAGGGGCAACAGGAGGGGCCCACAATGGGGGGGGGGGGATGGAGCGGATTGGTTCCGCCCACTGTGGGGGAGGGGATTGGGGGGCCCCCCGGCGGGGAAGGATGTGGGGAGGCTATGGGGTAGTTAAGGGGCATCTGTGGGTCAGGCTGGGGGTATGAGAGTGGTTATAGAGAGTGCCATGGGGCTGGCTATGGGGCAGCTATGAGGTAAGGGGATCTATGAAGTACTTATGGGGCAGGTTATGGGGTTGTGGGATCCCTATGGGGCAGGTCTGGGGCTGGGCATGGGGCACGGGCTGCACCATAGGGCAGCTATGGGGGAGATGGGGCTGGGGGGCATCTATTAGGGAGACTGGGACTATGGGGCTGTGCATTATCTATGGGGCTGTGCACTATCTATGGGGCAGCTCGGGGGCCGGGGACACAACCCGTTCCGACGGGGCTCCCCCCGCCTTGGAGGACCGCGCACCATCGAGCGGCGCTGCCAGAGCGGCCTCGCCATAAGCCCCGCCCTTTCCTCCTCCCACTTCCGGCTAGCGCGAGGGGCGCGCGGGCCGGGACGGCGCCATGGCAACAACGGTGCGGGGCGGGGGGGGCCCATAGGGGATTAAAGGGGTTTTGGGGGGGCCCATAGCGGATTAAAGGGGTTTTGGGGGGGCTGAGGTTTGAGGTCCCCCCCTTTTGACCCCCATTTCCCCCCTTCCAGACCCCGAAGGTGCCGGAGGTTCGGGACGTGACGCGGATCGAGCGCATTGGTTGGTCCCATTGCTTCAAACGGGGGGGGGGGTCCCCCTTTATGTGCCCCCCAAAACGAAGTGTTGGGGGGTTCCCCTCCTCTATTTTAGGTTTATTTCTTGCTATTTTGGGGCTTTCCACCCTGAATTTGTTCTCTTTAGGTGCGCATTCCCACATCCGCGGCCTAGGCCTCGATGATGCGTTGGAGCCTCGGCAGGTACCATTGGGGTGTTATAAGGGGGGGGTGTTTGGGTTTTGGGGTTCAAACCCCCACCCCCCCCATATTCCCGGTGTTCCAGGTATCCCAAGGCATGGTTGGACAGTTGGGCGCCCGCCGCGCCGCCGGCGTCATCCTGGAGATGATCAAGGAGGGGAAGATCGCGGGCAGAGCTGTGCTCATCGCCGGCCAGCCCGGCACCGGCAAGACCGCCATTGCTATGGGTCTGCCCCATTGATACCCCCTTTCCCTGCATCGCTATGGGTCTGCCCCATTGAAACCCCCTTCCTTGCACCGCCATTGCTATGGGTTTGCCCCATTGAAAACCCCTTTCCCTGCATTGCTATGGGTCTGCCTCATTGCACCCCCCCTTTCCGTGCATCGCTATGCGTCTGCCCCATTGAAACCCCGCCTTTCCCTGCACCGCCATCGCTATGGGTCTGCCCCATTGAAACCCCCCATTCCCTGCACCGCCATCGCTATGGGTCTGCCCCATTGAACCCCCCCCCTTCCCTGCATCGCTATGGGTCTGCCCCATTGAAACCCCCCCTTTCCCTGCACCCCCATCGCTATGGGTCTGCCCCATTGAAACCCCCCTTCCCTGCACCCCCTTCGCTATGGGTCTGCCACATTGACCCCCCCCTCCAGGAATGGCGCAGGCGCTGGGAGCCGACACCCCCTTCACGGCCATTGCGGGCAGTGAGATCTTCTCCCTGGAGATGAGCCGCACCGAGGCCCTCACCCAGGCCTTCCGGCGCTCCATCGGCGTCCGCATCCGGTCAGCACCACCGGGACCCCACTGGGGGGGGAAACAGCCGGGTTTGGGGTCTTTGTGCCTGGTTTTGGGGTCCTTGCACCCGGGTTTGGGGTCCTCACACCCATTTTGGGGTCCTTGCACCCATTTCTGGGGTCCACACACCCGGTTTTCGGGTCTTCGCACCCGGGTTTGGGGTCCCACTCCCATTTTGGGGTCCTCACACCTGGGTTTGGGGTCCTCACACCCGGTTTTGGAGCCCAACTCCCATTTCTGGGGTCCTCGCACCCGGTTTTGGGGCCCCATTCCCATTATTGGGGTCCCCACACCCCAGTTTTGACCTTCCCACCCCCATTATTGCCATCCCGCACCCATTTTGGGGTCCCCCAACCCCTTTCTGGGGGTTCCCATCATTGATTTTGGGGGGGGGGTTTGCAGGGAGGAGACGGAGATCATCGAAGGGGAAGTGGTGGAGATCCAGATCGACCGCCCCGCCACCGGCACCGTGAGTGGGGGAGAGCCCCGAAACCGCCCCAAAATCCCCCTTTTTCACCCCAAAAATGCCTTGGGGACCTCTCAAATCCATGGGGATCCCCAGGGCACCAAAGTGGGGAAGCTGACGCTGAAGACGACGGAGATGGAGACCATTTATGACCTGGGCACCAAAATGATCGAGTCCTTGACCAAGGAGAAGGTGCAGGCAGGGTGAGTGGGGGGGGGCACCCCAAATTGGGGGGAGATACCCCAAAATTGCCTGTGATGCCCCGAAATGGGGACCACCCCCCCCCCACGTGACCCCATTGCCCCCATAGGGACGTCATCACCATTGACAAGGCCACTGGGAAGATCTCCAAGCTGGGGCGCTCCTTCACCAGGGCACGGGACTACGACGCCATGGGGGCACAGGTGGGGCTATGGGGCGGGTGTAGGGCAGGTGTGGGGTGGGTGTGGGGCAGCTGTGGGGTGGCTGTGGGGCAGATTTGGGGCAGGTGTGGGGCGGCTGTGGGGCACCTATGGGGCAGCTGTGGGGCAGATCTGGAGCACCTATGGGGCAGGTGTGGGTCTGGGGCTGACTCTGCTCCCCCCCAGACCAAGTTCGTGCAGTGCCCCGACGGGGAGCTGCAGAAGCGGAAGGAGGTCGTGCACACGGTGTCCCTGCACGAGATCGACGTCATCAACAGCCGCACCCAGGGCTTCCTCGCCCTCTTCTCGGGTACGGACCCACAGCGGGACCCACAACTGGGACCCACAGCAGGACCCACAGCTGGGACCCACAACTGGGACCCACGGCCGGGACCCACAACTGGGACCCACAGCGGGACCCACAGCTGGGACCCACAACTGGGACCCACAGCGGGACCCACAGCTGGGACCCACAACTGGGACCCACAGCGGGACCCACAGCTGGGACCCACAGCTGGGACCCACAACTGGGACCCAGAGCCGGGACCCACAGCTGGGACCCACAGCGGGACCCACAGCGGGACCCACAACTGGGACCCACAAGTGGGAGCCTGACCCACAACTGGGACCCACAAGTGGCTGCTGGGGCCCCCCCGAGCTCCTGACCCCTTGTGCTCCTCTTGTTTGCCCCCCATAACCCAATCCATGAGCACCTTTACCCATACCCCATAACCGCCCCCCATTACCCCCTTTACACCCCGAGGTTCCCCCCATAGCCCTTTCCCCTCTTACACCCCCCCAGCCCCTCTTATCCCTCCTATCTCCCCCCATAAGCCCCTTTATCCTCCCCATTACCCCCCATTACACCCCAAGATTCCCCCATAGCCCCTTTTATCCCCCATATCTCACCCCATAAGCCCCTTTATCCTTCCTTATCCCCCATTACACCCCAAGATTCCCCCATAGCCCCTTTTATCCCCCATATCTCACTCCATAAGCTCCTTTATCCTCTCCTTATCCCCCCATTACGAGCCCCACATCTGCCCCACATCCACCCCATAGCTACCCCCATAAGCCCCTTTATCCCCTCCTTATCCCCCCATAACCAGCCCCACATCCGCCCCACATCCGCCCCATAGCTCCCCCTGTACCCCCATAGGTGACACCGGCGAGATCAAGGCTGAGGTGCGGGAGCAAATCAACGCCAAGGTGGCCGAGTGGCGCGAGGAGGGCAAGGCCGAAGTGATCCCGGGGGTGAGCAGTGGGGCCCAATGGGGCTCAGTGGGGCCCAATGGGGCTCAATGGGGTTCAATGGGGCGCAGTGGGGCAGCCCCATAGCCTGCCCCACAGCCTGCCCCACTGCGCAGGTGCTGTTCATCGATGAGGTTCACATGCTGGACATCGAGTGCTTCTCGTTCCTGAACCGGGCCCTGGAGAGCGACCTGGCCCCCGTGCTCATCATGGCCACCAACCGCGGCATCACCCGGTACCCACGGCGCCCCATGGAGCCCCACTGAACCCCATTGAACCCCACTGCACCCCACTGACCCCATTGACCTGCATTGACAGGATCAGAGGCACCAACTACCAGAGCCCCCACGGGCTCCCCATCGACCTCCTGGACCGGCTCCTGATCATCTCCACGGCGCCCTATAGCGACAAGGAGACCAAGCAGATCCTCAAGATACGGTGGGGGGGCAGAACTGCCCCATAGCGCCCTGCCCGTGCCCCATAGATCCTGCCCCCTGTGCCCCATAGTTCCCCGTGCCCCATAGCTCCCCGTGCCCCATAGCTCCCCCCCGTGCCCCATAGCTCCCCGTGCCCCATAGCTCCCCCCTGTGCCCCATAGCTCCCTGTGCCCCATAGCTCCTGGTGCCCCATAGCTCCCTCCCCGTGCCCCATAGCTCCCCCTGCCCCATAGCCCCCCGTGCCCCATAGCTCCCTGTGCCCCATAGCTCCTGGTCCCCCATAGCTCCCTCCCCATGCCCCATAGCTCCCAGTGCCCCATAGCTCCCCCTGCCCCATAGCCCCCCGTGCCCCATAGCTCCCCATGCCCCATAGCTCCCTGTGCCCCATAGCTCCTGGTGCCCCATAGCTCCCTCCCCGTGCCCCATAGCTCCCAGTGCCCCATAGCTCCCCCTGCCCCATAGCCCCCCGTGCCCCATAGCTCCCCCTGCCCCATAGCTCCCCCTGCCCCATAGCTCCCTGTGCCCCAGGTGCGAGGAGGAGGACGTGGAGATGACGGACGACGCGTACTCGGTGCTGACGCGCATCGGGCTGGAGACGTCCCTGCGCTACGCCATGCAGCTCATCACCGCCGCCAGCCTGGTGGCCAGGAAGAGGCAGGTGGGGCGCTGTGGGGCAGCCGTGGGGCGGAGCAGAGGGGTACGGGGGGGGTTTGGGGTGATGTTGGGCTGGGTTGGGGCTGATTGGGGGTATTTTGGGGTGGTTTTGGGTCTGCTTGGGGGTATTTAGGGCGGTTTGGGTGTATTTTGGGGTGGTTTTGGGTGGTTTGGGGGTATTTAGGGCGGTTTGGGTGTATTTTGGGGTGGTTTTGGGCGGTTTGGGGGTATTTAGGGTGGCTTGGGGGTATTTTGGGGTGATTTTGGGGTATTTTGGGGTGGTTTTGGGGCTGTTTTGGGTTATTTTGGGGTGGTTTTGGGGCTGTTCGGGGGTATTTTGGGACAGTTTTGGGGCTGTTTGGGGGTATTTAGGGTGGTTTTGGGGCTCCCACGCCCGTGTCCCGCAGGGGGGGGAGGTGCAGGTCGAGGACATCAAACGCGTTTATTCCCTGTTCCTGGACGAGTCCCGCTCCACCCAGTACATGCGGGAGTACCAGGAGGCCTTCCTGTTCAACGAGCTGCGTGAGCAATGAGGGGTCCGGGGGGGGAGGGGCTCTGTGGGGTCAGCGGGGGGTCAGGACATGGGGGTGGGGCAGGTGACCCCCTGACCCCCCCCTCCCCCCCTCTTGCAGAGAGCGAAACCATGGAAACACCGTGACCCCCCCCCACCCCCGTTTGTATGAATGAAACCTTCGTTTGGAGGCGGTTGCTTTGATCTTTATTGGGGGGAGGGGCCTCGAGGGGGCGGGGCTCATCCCGCGCTGAACTGCAGGAAGAGGCGGCGCCGCTGCGGGTCCCGGAAGTGCGGCAGGAACCGGATGTGCAGGAGCCGGGAGAAGCCCTCGGAGAGGGAGGGGGGCACGAACCGGTTCCTGGGGGGGGAGGGGCAGGAATGAGAGCTCTGAACCCCCCCAATGCCCCTCCCCCCACTCCCACATCCCCCCCTCCCCCTCACCTGTACCCATAGAGCACAACATCGGTGACGGGGACGTGGCCGCTCTCGGTCATATCCCGGAACTGGGGGGGGAGTGAAAGGGGAGACCCACAAAGGGGGGTTCAGGGGGGGTTGGAGGGGTCACAACCCCCCCACACCCCATGGTGGGAATGGGGGTTCGGCCCCCAGCCCCCCCCTACCCTGCAGTTGTGTTGTGCCTGCTCCAGGCTGGCTGTGAAGTGGAGGCAGCGGCAGGGGACGGCAGCGGCGCGGGCACAGGCCACGTACCTGGGGGCATAGGGGGCCATATATGGGTTCCGTGGGGTCATCTATGGGTCCTATGGGGTTATATGGGATCATAAAGGGGTTATATGGGGCTACAGAGGTCATATGAGGTCATGGGGGCATACAGAATTGGGGGTGTGGGATCACAGAGGTTATATGAGATCATCCAGGGGCACATAGGGGTCATATGGGGTCATACAGGGTCACATAGGGGTCCTATGGGGTCACATAGGGGTTCTATGGGGTCATACAGGGTCACATAGGGGTTCTATGGGATCATATAGGGTGACCTAGGGGATCTACGAGGTCATATGGGGTCACATAGGGGTTCTATGGGGTCAGGGGTGGTTCTGGGCCCCCCCCCCCATCACCTCTGTCGCGATTCAGGGTCCGGGTTCGTGTTGTCAATGGCAACGGAGCGGCCCTGAGCCAGGGCGGCCTCACAGGCAGCAACGCAGGCCTGCCAGGAGCCCAGCGTGTCCTATGGGGGCGTCACATGACATGGGGTCACACATGGGTCATGTGGGGGTCACGTGGGGGGGGGGGGATCACATGACCACACTGACCCGGTTGATGTAGACGTATCCCGCGGGAACAAAATGGGTCTTCAGGAAGGTCGACTTCCCCGCTGGGTCAAAGGTCAGGTTGGGGTCACGAGTCAGTTAGGGGTCAGAGGTCATGGGTGGGGTCAGAGGGCACTCACCCCCAGGGTACCCCACGGCCACCACGACCTCGGGGCTGGAGCTGAGCAGGGGCTCCTCGGGGGGGTCATAGAGTGGTGCTGAGGGGTCAAGCTGCCGCTGCGGGGTCAAAGGTCAAGGTCAGGAAAGCAAAGGTCAAGGTCAGGGATCACCTGGTGGATGGGGTTACTCACGGGGTCAAAGGTCGGCAGGTCAAAGGGTGCCGGGGCCCAGCCCAGGAAGAATTCCTCTGGGGTGTGGAACCGGAGCCCAGCGTTGATGGCGAACTGGGGGGTCAAAGGGCATGGACTGGGGTCAAAGGGCACAAAGCAGAGGTCAGGGGTCACAAACAGGCTGCTTTGGGGGGATTTTGGGCCGCACCAATCGGTCGCTGCAGGAGAAATCCTTCTTCTTGCGCCCGGGGGCCCAGTTCTGGGGGCGTCCAGCGGCGTCTGGGGGGGGGGGGACAGGAAAAGGGGGGGTTGGGGGGAGGAACCCCCCCAAAACACCCTAAAATACCCCGAAAACACCCCCAGGTTCCCCCCATGGGTTCCCCCCTCCCTCAACTCACCCCCCACGTAGATGCTGTCGGGCACTGACACCGTCACGTCCCCATTGGCCTGTGGGAGAGCCCAAACAAGTGAGCCCCAGTTTAGCCCAGGGCTCCCCAATCTCTTCCCAGTCCATCCCAGTGCCCCCAATACCTTCTCAGTCCATCCCAGTGCCCTTCAACCCCTTCCCAGTCCATCCCAGTGCCCCCCAATCCCTTCCCAGTTCATCCCAGTGCCCCCCAATCCCTTCATAGTCCATCCCAGTGCCCCTCAATCCCTTCCCAGTCCATCCAGTGCCCCCCAATCCCTTCCCAGTTCATCCCAGTTTCCCCCAATCCCTTCATAGTCGATCCCAGTGCCCCTCAACCCCTTCCCAGTCCATCCCAGTGCACATCAACCCCTTCCCAGCACCTCCCAGTGCCCCCCGTTGCCCCCTCAGCACCTCCTGGCACAGATGATCCCACATCCCCAGCACTGGTTTCCGGTACAGCCCTGGCCCCGTCGCCACAAGCACCTGGGGGGGGGTCAGAGAGCTTTGAGGGGGGGTCCCCAAAGCCCTTGGGGGGTGGTCCCAGTGTGGGGGGGTCACACTGACCTGCAGGGCCCCCCCCAGGCGCTGGGTCACAGCCTCCACCTTGGCCTTGAACTGGGGGCTCTTGAGGCGCCCCCGAGAGATGCCCATTTGGTTGGTGAAGACGACGATCTGGGGGATGCAATGGGGGTCAGTGGGGTTTGGGGGGGTTCAATGGGGTTTGGGGGGGGTCTCTTACCTTATACCCCTCTCTCTGCAGCTCCTTCAGCTTCCTGGGCACCTCCGGGTACAGAATCCTATGGGAGGAGAGAGTCAATGAATGCACAAACACGAGGGGGGTCCCCCAAATCTGACCCCCCGCCAGCCCCCTCCTCACCTCCAGTCCTCAGGGCCAGTGGGGAACACCTTCCCCGACTTGGTGGTGATGAGGGTCCCGTCCAGGTCAAAACCCGCGATCTGGGGGGGGTTTAGGGGGTGACCCCCATTAAGGGGGGGTCCCAAGAGTGTGGGGACCCCCCCTTGAAGGAGCAGCACCCCCCCCCCCCATAGACTCACCCGGGAGCTGGGGACGACGCCAGGGGGGGTGAAGACCAAGAGGGCTCCATGTTGGCTCCAAGCATCGGCGGGGGGAGGGCAGGGACGCTTTGGGGGGGAAGGGGAAGGGTTGGGGGGACCCCCCCTGGGTGGGGAGGGGGAGGAGGGGGGGCGCTTGGGGGCACCTTCAAAGTGGAGCTCGAAGGGGTAAAGGCCATTGACCAAGCAGAGGGTCTGGCCGGGGCGCAGGGTGGCGCAACCCCCCCGGCCCAGCGGGGCCCCCCCAACCGAGGTGGGGTTCACTCCACGCTGTAAGGGAATGGGGGAAGCATTAAAGGGGGGACCTCCATAACAATGCCCCCCCATAACAAAGCAACCCCAAACTGGCTTTAACCCCTCCCAAACCAATGTGCAGCCCCCAAAATTGGCCTCGGACCCCCCAAAATGCCCCCCCCTCCCCGTTACAACCCCCCCAGGCCCCACCTGGGTGACCTGGGCCGTGCCCTCAGCGTAGTTGGCCACGATCTCCACTGCAAACGGAAGGGGAGGGGGTAAGAAACGGGGCTCCCGGAGACCCCCCGCTGCGGGCTATGGGGGGGGCTGAGGCCTTTGAGGGGGTCGCGGTGATACCCGGATGTAACCGGGGGTCCTGGGTAGGGGGGGGGGGTTTCCAGTCGCACCCTGTCCGCGGGAGCACTTCCGGTCGGTGACGCCGGTTCGCGGCCCCCTCCCCACGACCACGGCCTCGCCATCGGGCAGCGGCACCGGTCCGGCCGCTCCGCGCAGCTCGCACCGCACCATGGCCCGCCGGAAGTGACCCGGCCGCGGCGCCTCCGCTTCCGGTCACATGACACGCTCGGGTCCACTCCTCGGCACCAGCCCCTGCTCTCTTCACTGCGCTACTTCCGGGTAGCGCTAACGCAACTTCCGGCCGCCCCTTCCGGTTGGGGATGGAGCCAGCCCGCCCTCTGGCGGTGGAGCTCCTGGTAGATCCGAGCACCGGGACAGCCGGAAATGGACCGGCAATAGACCGGAAATGCCACATCGGCCTTACACAGGTGTCCCCATGTCCTTGCCCCCCCCCATGCACAAGGACCCCCCCCTCAGCCGCCATCCGGTGCCACCATGTTTATTGCCCCCCCTGCCCCGCGGTCCCTCGGATCGGGTTCCGGAGGGGGAAACACAGGAAGGTGCCGGGGGCGGGACACAAGGGACGAGGGACCGGGTCCTGGTGTGTCGTCCCCCCCCCCCATAGCGTTGTCCTCGGGGTCCTTGTGCCCCCCTGCCCGCCCCACCTCGGCCCCGCACTGTGCACATCACGTGCCCTTGTGCACACCACGTGTCCTTGTGCAGCATCACGTGTCCTTGTGCAGCATCACGTGTCCTTGTGCAGCATCACGTGTCCTTGTGCACCCTTGTATACCCTCATGCGTTACCGTATGTCCCTGTGCACCCTCATTTATCCTTGCACACCAATGTATGTCCTTGTGCACCACTGTACATCCTCATTCACCCCCATATGTCCCTGCGCACCATCCAGCATCCTCGTGCACCCTCACTTCTTGTCGTGCACCTTTGTATGTTGTGCACCATCACACGCCCCTATGCACCGCTGTATGTCCTTGTGCACCCTCAGTTATCCTTGTGCACCATTGTATGTCCTTGTGCACCATTGTATGTCCTTGTGCACCATTGTATGTCCTTGTGCACCATCATATGTCCTTGTGCACCATTGTATGTCCTCGTGCACCATCGTATGTCCTCGTGCACCATTGTATGTTCTTGTGCACCATTGTATGTCCCTGTGCAACATTGTATGTCCTTGTGCACCATCATATGCCATAGTGCACCATTGTACATCCTCGTGCACCCCCACACATCCCTATGCACCGCTGTATGTCCTTGTACACCCCCATTTACCTTGTGCACCATCATATGTCCTTGTGCACCATCATATGTCCTTGTGCACCATTATATGGCCTTGTGCACCATCGTATGTCCTTGTGCACCATTGTATGTTCTTGTGCACCATTGTATGTCCCTGTGCAACATTGTATGTCCTTGTGCACCATCATATGCCATAGTGCACCATCATATGTCATTGTGCACCATTGTACATCCTTGTGCACCCCCACACATCCCTATGCACCGCTGTATGTCCTTGTACACCCCCATTTACCTTGTGCACCATCGTATGTCCTTGTGCACCATCGTACCTCCCTGTGTACCATCGTACCTCCCTGTGTACCATCGTACCTCCTCGTGCCCCCCCACGTCCCCATGCACCACTGCACATCCCCGTGCACCCTCGCTCACCCTTGCTCCTCCCCCACCTCCTCGCTCCCCATCCCCCCATCCCCCCACCCCCATCCCCCTCCCCCTCACACCTCCGTCACCAACCTCCCCCCCCCCCACCCCTTCGTGCCTCCCCCCAGGGCCTCCCCGTCCATATCCCCCCCGACCCCCACCCCCACCCCGTTGCCCCCCTTCCCCCCGCCCATGCCGGGGCTGTCGGGGGGGGGCGGGTGGTGGGGGCAGGGCGGCGCGGCCTGGAAGTCCCCGCTCTCCTCGGCGCGCAGCTCCCGCCGGTAGAAGTAGCTGAAGTTGGAGACGATGACGGGCACAGGCAGGGAGATGGTGAGGACGCCGGCGATGGCGCACAGGGACCCCACCAGCTTCCCGCCCACCGTCACCGGCGCCATGTCCCCGTAGCCCACGGTGGTCATGGTGACCACGGCCCACCAGAAGGCCTGCGGGATGGACGTGAAGGCGGTGGCGGCGTCCTCGGCCTCGGCGAAGTAAACGGCGCTGGAGAAGAGGACGACGCCGATGAGGAGGAAGAAGATGAGGAGCCCCAGCTCGCGCATGCTGGCGCGCAGCGTCTGGCCCAGGATCTGCAGCCCCGTCGAGTGCCGCGACAGCTTGAAGACCCGGAAGACCCGCACCAGGCGGATCACCCGCAGGATGGCCAAGGACATGGCCGGCTGGCCCAGCCCGCCGCGGCGCGCCAGCTCCGTGCCCAGCGCCACGAAGTAGGGAGCGATGGCCACCAGGTCGATGAGGTTCATGGCGTTGCGGAAGAAGGCCGCCTTGCTGGGGCTGGCCACCAGGCGCACCAGCAGCTCCAGGCTGAACCAGCAGATGCAGATGGTCTCCACCACGAAGAAGGGGTCGGAGAGGCTGCTGCGGGACGGAGGGGACGGCGATGGGGAGGAGGTGGTGTTGGGGAAGGGGGTGGAGTGGGGCTGGGGGGGGAGAGAGAGAGAGATGGGGGTTAGGATATAGAGGGGGGGGTGAAGCATCCAGACCCAGAGGTCCACCACACAGACACCTGGAGCCATGGATCCATCATCCAGACCCTAGATCCATCATCCAGACCCATGGATCCATCATCCGGACCCATGGATCCATCATCCAGACCCTAGATCCATCATCCAGACCCATGGATCCATCATCCAGACCCATGGATCCATCATCCAGACCGATGCATCCATCATTCAGACCCATGGATCCATCATTCAGACCCATGGATCCATCATCCGGACCCATGGATCCATCATCCGGAGCCATGGATCCATCATCCAGACCGATGCATCCATCATTCAGACCCATGGGTCCATCATCCAGACCCTAGATCCATCATCCAGACCCATGGATCCATCATCCAGACCCATGGGTCCATCATCCAGACCGATGCATCCATCATTCAGACCCATGGGTCCATCATCCAGACCCATGGATCCATCATCCGGACCCATGGATCCATCATCCAGACCCATGGATCCATCATCCAGACCCATGCATCCATCATCCAGACCGATGCATCCATCATCCAGACCCTAGATCCATCATCCAGACCCATGGGTCCATCATCCAGACCCTAGATCCATCATCCAGACCCATGGATCCATCATCCAGACCCATGGATCCATCATCCGGACCCATGGATCCATCATCCAGACCCTAGATCCATCATCCAGACCCATGGATCCATCATCCAGACCCATGGATCCATCATCCGGACCCATGGATCCATCATCCAGACCCTAGATCCATCATCCAGACCCATGGATCCATCATCCAGACCCATGGATCCATCATCCAGACCCATGGGTCCATCATCCAGACCCATGGATCCATCATCCGGACCCATGGATCCATCATCCGGACCCATGGATCCATCATCCAGACCCATGGATCCATCATCCAGACCCATGGATCCATCATCCAGACCCATGGATCCACCACCCAGACCCATGGATCCATCATCCAGACCCATGGATCCATCATCCAGACCCATGGATCCATCATCCGGACCCATGGATCCATCATCCAGACCCTAGATCCATCATCCAGACCCATGGATCCATCATCCAGACCCATGGATCCATCATCCGGACCCATGGATCCATCATCCAGACCCTAGATCCATCATCCAGACCCATGGATCCATCATCCAGACCCATGGATCCACCACCCAGATGCTAGATCCACCATGCAGAGTGAGATAATGGAGGTTAAAGCCCACCCAGATGCTTGGGTCCACCACCCACTATGGGTTAATGGGCTTTGGAGCCCATCCGGACCCATGGATCCAGCACCCAGCCCTATGGATCCATATCCCAGAGGAAGAGGAGGATAACAAGGAAGAGCAGGAAAAGGAAGAGGAAGTTGATGGAGATGAAGAAGAGGAGGAGGAAGAGAAATGGGTGGATGAAGGCTGGAGGAACAATGCTGCTGCTGAGGAGGAGGAGGAGAATGAGGATGAGGAGGGTGAGGAGCTGGGAGGGAGAAAAAGAAGAGAAGGAAGAAGAAGATTGAGCTGGAGAAGATTGATGCTGATGAAGAGGAGGAGAAGGAGGAAGAAGAAGATGAGGGTGGTGAAGCTGAGGACCACAAGGAGGAGGGTGGTGAGGGTGAAGATGATGGGCACAACGAGCCTGAGGACCAAAAAGGTGTGGATGAAGATGATGAGGTCGAGGAGGAAGATGGAGCCCACGGTGATGGTGGGGCTGAGGCCCTTGAGGATAAGGACAACGGTACCAGTGATGCTGAAGATGAAGATGATGATGTCAAGGAGGAAGATGTGGGGCTGAGGCCCATAAGGATAATGGTGCCAGTGATGCTGAAGATGAGGATGATGATGTCAAGGAGGAAGATGATGATGTCGAGGAGGAAGACGATGACCATGATGATGATGGTGGTGGGGCTGAGGCCTATAAGGATAATGGTGCCAGTGACGATGAAGATGATGATGTCAAGGAGGAAGATGATGACTGTGGTGATGATGGTGGGCTGAGGCCCACAAGGATGAGGACAACGGTGCCAATGGCACTGAAGACGATGATGTCAAGGAGGAAGCTGATGACTGTGATGATGATGATGGTGGTGGTGGTGGACTGACGCCCACAAGGATGAGGATGATGACATCGAGGAGGAAGATGATGACTGTGATGATGATGATGGTGGTGGTGGTGGTGGACTGACGCCCACAAGGATGAGGATGATGACGTCGAGGAGGAAGATGATGACCGTGATGATGATGATGATGATGGTGGTGGTGGTGGTGGACTGACGCCCACAAGGATGAGGATGATGACATCGAGGAGGAAGATGATGACTGTGATGATGATGATGGTGGTGGTGGTGGACTGACGCCCACAAGGATGAGGATGATGACGTCGAGGAGGAAGATGATGACCGTGATGATGATGATGGTGGTGGTGGTGGTGGACTGACGCCCACAAGGATGAGGATGATGACGTCGAGGAGGAAGATGATGACTGTGATGATGATGATGGTGGTGGTGGTGGTGGACTGACGCCCACAAGGATGAGGATGATGACGTCGAGGAGGAAGATGATGACCGTGATGATGATGATGGTGGTGGTGGACTGATGCCCACAAGGATGAGGATGATGACGTCGAGGAGGAAGATGATGACTGTGATGATGATGATGATGGTGGTGGTGGTGGACTGACGCCCACAAGGATGAGGATGATGACGTCGAGGAGGAAGATGATGACTGTGATGATGATGATGATGGTGGTGGTGGTGGTCCAAGGCCCACAAGGATGAGGATGATGACGTCGAGGAGGAAGATGATGACCGTGATGATGATGGTGGTGGTGGTGGACTGACGCCCACAAGGATGAGGATGATGATGTCGAGGAGGAAGATGATGACCGTGATGATGATGATGATGATGATGATGGTGGTGGACTGACGCCCACAAGGATGAGGACGATGACGCCCACGATGCCGAGGCCGAAGCCGGGGGGGACACCCCCACCCCCCCACACCCCCCCCCCCCCGTCTCACCTGCAGCGCCCCCTCGGCTCCGGGCCGGAACTGCGGCAGGGTCTCGAGGCAGAAGACCACGATGGACACGAGGATGATGAGCACCGAGAGCAGCGCCACGGCGCGGGCGCCCACCGAGCTCTCGGGGTGCTCGCACAGGAGCCAAGCGCGGCGCTGGAGCCGCCCCCTCGGCAGCGCCTCGGCCGCCTCCACCGGGAAGCCCTCGGCCTCGCGCAGGCGCCCCTCGGCCTCCTCGCCCAGCTGGTAGAAGCGCAGCTCCTCCATGAACACGTCCAGGGGCACGTCCGGGGGCCGCCGCAGCCGCCCCCCCGATTGGTAATAGTAGAGCACGGCGCCGAAGGCCCCCACGTGCCGGTCGAAGAAGTACTCGCGGCGCTGGGGGTCGAAGTAGCGGCAGCGCCGGCGGGGGTCCCCCAGGAGGGTGTCGGGGAAGCGCAGCAGCGTCCGGCCCAGGGTCTCGAACCGGCGCCCGGCCACGTTGATGGCGACGCGCTCGCAGCAGCCCAGGGGCTCCCCCATGGCCGGAGGCAGGGGGAGGTTGGGGGGCTGGGGGGGTAATGGGGTGGGAGGAGGTTCTGGGGGGGTCAGAAGGGGTTTGGGGGGGTTCTTCCAAGGTTTATGGGGTTGGAGGAGGTCCTGATGGGGTTCAGAAGGGGTTTGGGGGGGTTCTTCCAAGGTTTATGGGGTTGGAGGAGGTCCTGGTGGGGTTCAGAAGGGGTTTGGGGGGGTTCTTCCAAGGTTGATGGGGTTGGAGGAGGTCCTGATGGGGTTCAGAAGGGGTTTGGGGGGGTTCTTCCAAGGTTTATGGGGTTGGAGAAGGTTCTGGAAGGTCCTGATGGGGTTCAGAAGGGGTTTGGGGGGGTTCTTCCAAGGTTTATGGGGTGGGAGGAGGTCCTGGTGGGGTTCAGAAGGGGTTTGGGGGGTTCTTTTGGGGTTCTTCCAAGGTTTATGGGGTTGGAGGAGGTCCTGATGGGGTTCAGAAGGGGTTTGGGGGGGTTCTTCCAAGGTTTATGGGGTTGGAGAAGGTTCTGGAAGGTCCTGATGGGGTTCAGAAGGGGGTTGGGGGGGTTCTTTTGGGGTTCTTCCAAGGTTTATGGGGTCAGAGAAGGTTCTGGAAGGTCCTTTTGGGGTCTTTGAAGGAGCCTTGGGTGTTCTTTGGAGGTTCTTAATGCGTCTGTGGGGTTGGAGAAAGTTCTTGGAGGTGGATTTGGGGCTCTTGAGGGGGTCTTGGGGGGCTTCTTCAGGGGTTTATGGATTTGGGGGACCTTTAAAGTCCTTTGGGAGTCTATGGGGTTGGAGGGAGGAGGTTCTTGAAGGAAGTTTTGGGGTCCTTTAGGGCTCTACGGCATTGGAGAACCCTCAAGCTCCTTGGGGGTCCTTCAAGGCTCTGCGGTGTTGGGGGAGCTTCTTGGAGGTGGCTGTGGGGTCCTTAAGGGCTCTATGGGGTTGGGAACCCCTCCAGCTATGGGGGGACCCTCAAGGCCCTTTGGGGTCCCCCCTCTGTCATCCCCCCCGATCCCTCCAGGCCCCCCCTCCTTGTTGTGGGGCTCCTGTCACCGGGTGTCCCCGTCCCCCCCCCCCCGCCCCACGTCACTGAGGGCTGTTCCCAACCCCGGTCACCGGGTGTCCCCTATGGCTCTGTCTCCAGCCCTTGTCCCTGCCTCTCCCCAACCCTTGTCCCCTATCATGGGGCGTCCCCCCCCTTTCCCCGGGTGTCCCCAACCCTATACCCGAGTGTCCCCAACCCCTATCCCCTACCACGGGTGTCCCCAGGCCCTGTCCCAACCCCTGTCCCCGCCTGTCCCTGTCCCTGTCCCCAACCCTTACCCCTTACAACCGGGTGCCCCCAACCCCTGCCGCTGCCTGTCCCCAACCCCTATCCCCCCATCACCGGGTGTCGTCTGTGTCCCCCCCCCCCGTTTCCCGCTGTCCCCAGCCCCTGTCACCGGGTGTCCCTGTCCCCGTCACCGGGTGTCCCTGCCCCACCGCCGCCGCCGCTGTCCCGTAAACAGGGTGGCCCCAACGGTGTCGGGTTCCCCCCCGCGGGCTAAAAATAACGGGGTCGGGGGGGGGGTGGGGGGTGTCGGGACACCCGGAGCCCTGCCCCCCCCCCCGCTGTCCCCAGTGAGGATGGGGGTTGTCACCCCCCCACCATGGCACAGGGGGGGTCACAGCGGGTGCTATAGAGGGGAGTAATGGGGGGGGGGTCACCTTGGTTGGTATGGGACAGGGAGGGGGTGACACACTGGTTGCCATGGGGATGATGGGGGGGCTGTGACACTGGTTCCTAGGGTGGTTGTTACAGGGTGAAAAGGGGGTGATGTGCTGGTTGCCATGGTGATGACAAGGCGTTGTCACCCTGGTTATGATGGGGTGACGAGGGGGTGTTGCTATGGGGTGACACGCTGGTTGCTATGGTAATAACGGGGAATGTCACCATGGTTACAATGGGACAGAGAAGCTTGAGCACCGCGGTTGCTATGGCGACAACAGAGGCTGTCACCCTGGTTCCTATGGCAATGGCAAGGGGGGGGGTGTCACCCTGATTATTATGGGTTGGCAAGGGGTGGTTTCCCCCCTCGGTTGCTATGGCGACACCCCCCCCCCCCGGCGACGGAGGGGGCGTGGCCTCCCGGTTGCTATGGCGACGGAAGGGGGGCGTGGCCTCGTCACCAAGCCGGCGTCGCCGCGCTGCGTCCCGTGAAGCCCCGCCCCTTCCGGCCCCGCGCGCGCACCCATTTCCGGCTCCCGCCGCCGCTCCGCTGCAGCGCATGCGCAGAGCGCGCGGAGCGGCCTGGCCCGAGCGGGCGGAGGGAGCGCGAGCGCCCGGGGGGTCCGTGGGGAACGGGGGGGGGCGGGGGGAGGCTGCGCTGTGGAGCTGGGGGGGGGTGGGGCCTATGGGGGCCTATGGGGTGTCCGTGTGGGTCTGGGGGGGCTCAATGTGGGGTTATGCGGGCCTATGCGGTCTGGGGGGGGGCCGGTGTGGGGCTGTGGGGCCTATGGGGGGGGAGCCGATGTGGGGCTGTGGGGGCCTATCGGCGGGGGGGCCGATATGGGGCTGTAGGGGCCTATGGAGGCGGCGATGTGGGGCTGTGGGGGCCTATGGGGTGCCCGTGTGGGTCTGGGGGGTTCAGTGTGGGGTTATGGGGGCCTATGCGGTCTGGGGGTGGTCTGATGTGGGGTTTTGGGGGGTTATAGAGCCTGGGGGGGGGGCGGTGTGGGGCTATGAGGGCCTATGGGGTTTCAGGGGGTCCCAATGTGCATCTGTGGGGGCCTGTGGGCCTCTAGGGGGTCCCAATGTGGGGCTGTGGGGTTCCAGGGGGTCCCAGTGGGGGCCTATGTGGTGGGATGAGGCAATTCAAGGGGGTTTCACAGTGGTGTGGGGGGGTCTCTGGGTCCAGGTGGGATCCATGGGTCTGGGGGTGGCATCCATGGGTCTTGGGCTGCTCCTCACCCTCTCTTCCCCCCCCCCCCAGACTCCCCCAAGATGACTCAGTTCCTGCCCCCCAATTTACTGGCGCTCTTCGCCCCCCGGGACCCCATCCCCTACCTGCCTCCCCTCGAGAAGCTGCCCCATGAGAAGCACCACAACCAGCCCTATAGCGGCATCGCCCCCTATATCCGGGAGTTCGAGGTGAGCCCCACAACCTCCCCCCACCCCCCCCGACCCTTCCCTGCCCCATAACTCACCCCCCATCTCCCCATAGGACCCCCGAGATGCGCCCCCCCCGACCCGTGCTGAGACACGAGAGGAGCGGATGGAGAGGAAGGTACAAGCAAACCCCTCCAAATGGGGGGCTGTGGGACACAACCCCCTTGCTATGGGGCTGGGGGTGATGGGCGGGTCCCCAGCTCTCAGCATCATTCCCCTCTTCATTTCAAGGCATCTCTATGAGGCTGGTTCTTTTCCCATTGCTTTCAGTGGATCCCAGTTAGTTTTGGAGCTCCCCCATTGATGTGGGTTGTTTGGGTGTGGGGGTGCCCCATATCTGTGTGTGTCCCCCAAACAGAGACGGGAGAAGATCGAGCGAAGGCAACAGGAAGTTGAGAGCGAGCTCAAGTTGTGTAAGTTGGGGGGTTCTATGGGGCTGGGGGGGTTCTATGGGGCAGGGGGTAGGGGTAGTCCCCCCATGTTCTCTGACCCCCCCCTTGTTCCTCTAACCCCCTGAACCACCGTTTTGGCCCTTTAGGGGACCCACACAATGACCCCAATGCTCAAGGAGACGCCTTCAAGACCCTCTTTGTAGCCAGAGTGGTGAGTGCTGGGGGGGGGTCCTTCCAGGCTATGGGGCTCCCCCAATCTATGGGGCTCCCCCAATCTATGAGGCTCCCCTGACCCCCACCCCCCCATTTTGGGGTGTCCCCCCCCCCAGAACTACGACACGACCGAGTCCAAGCTGCGCCGTGAGTTCGAGGTGTACGGCCCCATCAAGCGGGTGAGCCCCCCCCCCAATACCGAACCCCCCCCCCAGCAGCCCCCCCCACCCCATGGGGTGACACTGGCGGCCTGTGCAGATCTACATGGTGTACAACAAGCGCTCCGGGAAGCCCCGTGGCTACGCCTTCATCGAGTACGAGCACGAGCGGGACATGCACTGTGAGTACCCCCCCCGCAGCGCCCCTTTCCCCCCTACAACCGCATGTCCAACCTCTCTAAGCACAACCCCGCGTCCCCTTCGGGGTCCTGCGGGGCCTGGGCTTTCTGGCAGGTAAGTACAAGGCGGGGAGGACCTACAGGCGACCGAGGCACCGGGTGACTGAGCTCCAGGCCACCGGCAGCCGTGGCTGTAGGGAGCCGAGGCTACAGGCGGCCGAGCTCCAGGCAGGCAGAGCTACAGGCGGCCAGGGCTTCTGGTGGCGGAGCTGTAGGCAACCAAGGCTACAGGCGGCTGGGGCTACAGGCGGCCGTGCTATAGGTGACAGGCGGTTGACCGAGCTGCAGGTGGTGGCCAGGGCTGCGTGTGCTGGCCGAGGCTCCAGGCAGATAGGACTACGAGTGGCTAAGGTATAGGCGAGCAAGGGTACACGTAGCCCAGGTCCAAGTGCTTGACCAGCTACAGGCATTGGCTGAGGTTACAGCCCAGGGCTACAGGCAGTGGTGCAGCTATAGGCAGCCATGGCTAGGGCTGGCCAAGATACAGGCAACCAAACTACAGGTGGTGGCCAAGGCTACTGTTGGCCTAAGTGCAGGCAGCCAAACCTACAGGTAGCTGAGCCTAGAGGCGGCGATGCTATAGTTATCTAAGGCAACAGGCAGCGGCTGAGGCTACAGGCAGCCAAAGCTGTAAGCAGTGGCCAAGGCTACAGGTAGCCAAGCCTACAGTTAATCAAGGAGACAGGCAGTTAATGCTACAGGTTGTTGGCAGAGCTACAAGCAGCCGAGGCTGCAGTCGGGCGAACTACAGGTACCAAAGGCTGTAGTTAACCACAGCTCCGGGCAGCTGAGGCTACAGGCAGCCAAGGCAACAGGCAGAGCTAGAGAGAGCTGCGGCTACAGGCGGTCAGAGCTACAGGCGGCCACAAGGTTCCAGTTGAAGGCAAGGGGATAACGCAGCGCCTGAGGCAACAGGCGGCCACCCCCCCCAGCCAATGCAACAACAGGCAGTGACCACCAACAGTCGGAGGCTCCGGGAAGCGCCGCTCTCTCCTTCCCCCCCCTTCACCCTGTCCCCCCCCAACACCCGCGGTTGTCGCGTCCCCATGTCCGGTACCGGGTGTGCGTGTGTGTGTGTGTGTGTGTGTGTGCTCGCATGTGTGTGTGTGTGTGTGTGGCTGGGGGGGGGACCGGGGGGGACGCCTGTTGCCGGCCGGGGTTGTATTAACACTGTTTTATTGTCACTGCAGCCACCTTTGTGATGGCTTTTGCCACTGCTGGCTTGCAGCTGATCCTAGTGCTCCCCCTTCCAACACCTCAGTGTATGGTTGGTATAAGGGTTTGTATGTTGGTAAGACACCTTTTTAACCCCCCCACAACACCCCAAAATACACGGAGAGGGGGGGGAGGAAGGGCGGGGGGGGGGTTCTGAGGACCCCCCCCTTTCCCAATAACCCCCCCCTTCACCAACAGGGTTTGGATGGGGGGGGACATGCGGATGCACCCATCGCATCCCAGCACAGCCGGGATGAGAGAGGTGCCATCACCACCCCCCCCTTTTTGGCTTTTTATGAGCCCCCCCCCGCCCAAAAGAACCCAAATCCCACTTTAGGAGGTGGGGGGGGGGCTTTTCTTAGCCCCCTTCACCTCATTCCCCCCCCAAACAGGGCTTAAACCCCTTCTGGAACATTCCCCCTCCTCTTAACACGGTCACGGCCTCAGTCTCTGCTGAGGTGGGGACGTGTGGCCCCTCTTTTGGGTGGGGGCCCTAAGGAGCCCCCCCTCACACCCATTGAAGTGAATGGGGAAGGGGGGGCAGCAAGTAGGACCCCCTTCTCCCCACTGCCCTTTGGTACGGCCCATGGAGGAAGGAGGGGGGGGCTGTGAGTGGGCCCCCCCCATGTGGGACCCAGGGTGGGGCGGTGCTCATGGCACCAGTCCCTTAATAAGAGATCTACTGGGGGACACCCCCCGTAATAGATCAATGGGGGAACCCAAATAGATAGGGGGGACCCCAAAAAGAGATCAATTGGGGACCCCCCAAAGTAGATTACTTGGGCCCCCTAATAGAGATAAATGGGGGGACCTCCATACAGATCAGTGGGGACCCGAAAATACATCAGTTGGGGGGTAGATCAATGGGGCCCCCCCAAAGTAGCTGAATGGGGAGACACCCCCATACAGATCAATGACGGACCCCCAAAATTGGTCAGTTGGGGACCCCCTGAAGTAGATCAATGGGGGGACCCCAAATAGCTCAATTGGGGCCTCCCAGAAATAGATCAGTGGGGGGAGCCCCCCTATGATGTTTGTGTAGGGCCTACAGCATTGCTATGGAGGGGGGCAGCACCCATAATGGGGGGGGGGGTCGGGTTTGGGGGGGGCTGAGCCCCCCTATGGGTATGGGGACCAAACCCCCCAGTCCCAGTGACGGGGGGGAGGGGGATTTAAGGGGGGGCCGAGCCCCCCCAACCCATCCCTATGGGGCGGAATGTATGGGGGGACCCCAGTGGGTGGGGGGGAGCCCCCATGGGTGTGTGGGGGGTGGTTTTTGGGGGGGGGTTGGGGGGTGATGGGTCTCAGGTAAGGCCCCAGCGCCTGTCCAGGACCAGGAGCTTCCGGAAGGTTCTTTGACCCCCCCAAGCCGAGGGGGGGGACACACGGACCCGCCCCCCCCATCATCGGTTACCCCGGGGGGGGAGTTTGGGGGGGCTGCGTCCACCCTATTGTGAGTCATAGGGGGGGGTTGGGGGGAGTGTGGTATGGGGGAGATGCAGGTAAGGTAACATTGGGGGTGCCCCCCCAAATCAACATGGGGGGGCCTTATGCAAGTGGGGGGGAGGGTCAGTGTGAAGGTAAAGGGGTGAACCCCCCCAAGTCAACATGAGGGGGGGTCAGTGTGAAGGTAAAGGGGTGAACCCCCCCAAGTCAACATGAGGGGGGGTCAGTGTGAAGGTAAAGGGGTGAACCCCCCCAAGTCAACATGAGGGGGGGTCAGTGTGAAGGTAAAGGGGTGAACCCCCCCAAGTCAACATGAGGGGGGTCAGTGTGAAGGTAAAGGGGTGAACCCCCCCCAAGTCAACATGAGGGGGGGTCAGTGTGAAGGTAAAGGGGTGACCCCCCCCAAGTCAACATGGGGGAGGTCACAAGTCAACATGGGGAGGTCAATGTGAAGGTAAAGGGGTGACCCCCCCCAAGTCAACATGAGGGGGGGTCAGTGTGAAGGTAAAGGGGTGACCCCCCCCCAAGTCAACATGGGGGGGTCAATGTGAAGGTAAAGGGGTGACCCCCCCCAAGTCAACATGGGGGGGTCAGTGTGAAGGTAAAGGGGTGACCCCCCCCAAGTCAACGTGGGGGGGGTCAGTGTGAAGGTAAAGGGGGTGCATCCCCCGCAGTTCCATGGCACGGGTTTATGCGGGGGGGGGGGGCAAGTTGTCCTTAACCTCTTTCCTTTCCAGCCGTGTATTTGGGGGGGGGCACCCCCTTTCCCCCCCCAGGGCGTCCGCAGCCCTTGGTCCTATTGATGCTGATGATGCCTTTGAGTGTGTGGGGGGGTGGTTTTAGGGGGGAGGAGGGGGGGGTGGTACCACTTTGGGGAGGGGGGGGCGGGCTGGCAGCTCCCCTCGTTACTAACCCCTCGTTTGTCCCCCCCCCGCACCCCACTTTTGTTGTTCTGTGCCCCCCCCCCATTATAGCCGCCTATAAACACGCTGATGGGAAGAAGATCGACGGCCGCCGGGTGCTGGTGGATGTGGAAAGGGGGCGCACGGTGAAGGGATGGAGACCCCGGCGCTTGGGTAACGATAACGACCCCCCCATATCCATAAGGGGGACCCCCCCCAGTGTTATCCCTAGGACCCCCCCGTTGATGCGGGCTCTGTTGCAGGGGGCGGCCTGGGGGGTACCCGCCGAGGAGGCGCCGATGTGAACATCCGGCACTCGGGCAGGGACGACACCTCCCGTTACGACGAGCGGTGAGTGCGGGGCCGGGCCCCCCTACGGCAGCCCCAGGAGGGGGGGGGTCAGGACCCCCCCCATTGACCCCCCCCCCCCCGTGGTCTCTCCCGCAGGGACCGGGAACGGGAGCGGGAGCGGGAGCGCCGGGAGCGTTCTCGGGAACGGGAGCGGCGCCGTTCGCGCTCCCGGGACCGGCGGCGCCGCACGCGGAGCCGCGAGAAGGAAGAGCGGGAGCGGAAGCGGGGCGGGAGCCGGGACCGCAGCAAGGAGCGCGACCGGAAGCGCCGCAGCCGCTCCCGCGACCGCAAACGGGATCGCGACCGGGATCGCGACAAGAAGGAGGAAGGGCTCGAACCCATGGAGCCCATGGAGGAGCTGGGGGGCGGCGGGGGGATGGGCGGCATTCCCGATCCCGGCCCCCCCGACGGGCTGGGGTCCAAAGGGGACGGGGAGGACAAGAGCCGGGAGCGGGAACGGGAGCGGCGCCGCGGGCACCGGGAGCGGGAGCGGCGCCGGGAGCGCGAACGGGAACGGGAGCGGCCGGAGCGCGAGCACAAACGGGAACGGGAGCGTTTGGACCGGCGGGAGGAGAGGCCCCCCGGGCCGGATGCGCCGGATGCGATGGGCGGGGGGGGAGACCCCGGCTCCGAGCTGTTCCTGCAGCAGGATTCCCTCCCGCCGCCCGAGGGGTACATGGGGGCTGAGAACGGGTACCTGATGGAGCCCCCCATGGAGTGAGGGGGGCAACCCCCGAAACTGAAACCCCCAAAACCCCCGTTTTTGTGCTTCAAATAAAGGTCTTTTAATGGAAAGAGGAGTTTGGGGGGCGGGATATGGGCCCCAAATGGGATGGGGGGGGACGAAGAAATGGGAGGGGGCACCCCCCACGTACAGTGGGACATCCCAGATAGACGGGGGTTCCCCGCGAGTGGCGTGGGAGACCCCAATGGGGGTGGGGGGACACGACCCCAAAGAGGGTGGGATCCCCCCCTAAACAGAGTGGGACGTTCCATTGGGGATGGGGCACCCCAATGGGGGGGGGCCTACATAGGGACCCCAGCTTCCAAATACGATGGGAAACCCCAAATGGGGGGGGTGGGCACTAAATGAGGTCGGAGCCCCCCTCCCCACATAGGACGGAACCAATCCAAATGGGGGGGGGGGGGTCGGCGCATGCGCGTGTGTCCTTGGGGCGCGGAGCGATGGCAGCGCTGAGCGGGGATGCGCTGGGGCTGGAGCGGGGTGAGGGGAGACCTGGGGGGCGATGGGGGCAGTGGGGGGCAATGGGGGGGGTTCAGTGGGGTGCAATGGCCCCCATGCACCCCATCGCCGGGGGGCGGGCGGTGGAGCTGCTGGAGCGGCTGCAGCGCAGTGGGGAGCTGCCCCCCCAGAAGCTTCAGGCGCTGCAGAGGGTCCTGCAGAGCAAGTTCTGCTGCGCCATCCGCGAGGTGGGACCCCAAAAACAGCCCCAAGACCCCCCCAAACCCCCCCCAACCCTCCCCCCCCCCCGACCACCACCACAGCTCCCCAAAACCCCCCTCGGGCACCCCAAATACCCCCCCATGGAACCCCCCCCACTGCCCCTGAGGACCCCCCAATCCCCATCATAAGCCCCCTGATGGGGTGTGGGGGGGTTGACCCCTGGGTACCCCAAAACCAGGGTGACCCCGCTCCCCCCCCCAGGTCTATGAGCAGCTCTATGACACCCTGGACATCGCTGGAAGCCCCGAGATCCGGGCCCATGCTACAGCCAAGGTACCCCCAAATCCCACCCAGAGCACCCCAAAACCATCCCAGAGCCCCCCCCCGAACTGACCCAGGGACCCCAATGCCCGCCCCCCCCCTTCCCTTTGCCCAGGGCTGTTCCCGTCTCTCGCCTGCATCCCCCCTGCCCGGGTCCATCTGTTCCCGTCTGGCCCCCCCCCCGCGGTGGCCGATGGCTGTGCCCAGGTCCTGCCCTGGTCCCTGGCACCATGGACCTGTGTGTCCATATCCCATACCCCACATATCCCATATCCCCTATCCCATACCCTGCATCCCACATCCCATACCCTGTATCCTATACCCTGCATCCCATACCCCATAGCCCATATCCCATACCCTCTATCCCGTAACCCATACCCCATACCCGACACCCCATTCCCTGTACCCATACCCCATATATCCTGTACCCTCTATCCCATACCCCGTACCCTCTATCCCATACCCTGTACCCCATACCCCACACCCCACACCCCATACCCTGTACCCCATATATCCCATACCCCATATATCCTGTACCCTCTATCCCATACCCCATATATCCCATACCCCATATATCCTGTACCCTCTATCCCATACCCCATATATCCTGTACCCTCTATCCCATACCCCATATATCCCATACCCCATATATCCTGTACCCTCTATCCCATACCCCATATATCCTATACCCTCTATCCCATACCCCATATATCCCATACCCCATATACCTGTACCCTATATCCCATACCCCATATATCCCATACCCTCTATCCCATACCCCATATATCCCATACCCCATATATCCCATACCCTCTATCCCATACCCCATATATCCTATACCCTATATCCCATACCCCATATATCCCATACCCCATATCCCATACCCCATATATCCCATACCCCATATATCCCATACCCTATATCCCATACCCCATATCCTACCCTATACCCCATACCCCATATATCCCATACCCCATATCTTACCCATCCCATACCCCATATATCCCATACCCCATATACCCTGTAATCCTCATCCCATACCCATATCCCATACCCCACACCCCCATCCCCCTCTCCCATCCCCCCTCCCCCCTCACCCCCGCTGTTCCTGTCCCCCTCCCCAGGCCACCGTGGCTGCGTTCGCGGCCAGCGAGGGCCACGCTCACCCGCGCGTGGTGGAGCTGCCCAAGACCGAGGAGGGGCTGGGCTTCAACATCATGGGGGGCAAGGAGCAGAACTCCCCCATCTACATCTCGCGCGTCATCCCGGGGGGGGTGGCGGACCGGCACGGGGGGCTCAAGCGGGGGGACCAGCTCCTGAGCGTCAACGGCGTGGTGAGGGGGGGGGCTCCATGGGGGGGGACGTAAAGGGGGGGTGATGGGGGATGAAAGGGGGTGATGGGGCTGAAAGGGGGTGATGGGGGCTGAAAGGGTGATGGGGCTGAAAGGGTGATGGGGCTGAAAGGGGGTGATGGGGCTGAAAGGGGGTGATGGGGGGTGAAAGGGTGATGGGGCTGAAAGGGTGATGGGGCTGAAAGGGGGTGATGGGGCTGAAAGGGGGTGATGGGGCTGAAAGGGGGTTACGGGGGCTAAAAGGGTGATGGGGGTATTGGAGGGGTTTAGGTGGGCCTATGGTGTGTTATGGGGTGGCTGGGGGGGTTATTGAGTGTTTTAGGGGGGTTATGGGTGTGTGAGGGGTGTTGGAGGAGTAAGGGGGGCCTTGAGGGGCTATGGGGGGTTATTGGGTGTATATGGGGGTGATTGGGTGGTTATGGGGGTTATTGGGTGGTTATGGGGCTGTGGAGGGCCCTGGGGGTGACCGGGTGGTTATGGGGTTCATTGGGTGGTTATGGGGTTCATTGGGTAGTTATGGGGTTCATTGGGTGGTTATGGGGGTTCATTGGGTGGTTATGGGGTTCATTGGTTGGTTGTGGGGCTGTGGAGGGCCCTGGGGGTGACTGGGTGGTTATGGGGTGATTGGGTGGTTATGGGGTTCATTGGGCAGTTATGGGGTTCATTGGGTGGTTTTGCGGCTGCGGAGGGCCCTGGGGGTGACCGGGTGGTTATGGGGTGACTGGGTGGTTATGGGGTTCATTGGGTGGTTATGGGGTTCATTGGGTGGTTATGGGGTTATTGGGTGGTTATGGGGTTCATTGGGTGGTTATGGGGTTATTGGGTGGTTATGGGGTTATTGGGTGGTTATGGGGTTCATTGGGTGGTTATGGGGTTATTGGGTGGTTATGGGGTTCATTGGGTGGTTATGGGGTTATTGGGTGGTTATGGGGTTATTGGGTGGTTATGGGGTTATTGGGTGGTTATGGGGTTATTGGGCGGTTATGGGGTTCATTGGGTGGTTATGGGGTTCATTGGGTGGTTATGGGGTTCATTGGGTGGTTATGGGGTTCATTGGGTGGTTATGGGGTTCATTGGGCGGTTATGGGGTTCATTGGGTGGTTATGGGGGGTGCCGGGGGCGCTCGGGGGCGCAGAGCGTGGAGGGGGAGCAGCACGAGCGCGCGGTGGAGCTGCTGAAGGCGGCGCAGGGCTCGGTGAAGCTCGTGGTGCGCTACACCCCCCGCGTGCTGGACGAGATGGAGGCGCGCTTCGAGAAGCTGCGCAGCGCCCGCCGGCGCCAGCACCACAGCTACACGTGAGCCCCCAGCCCCCAGCACCCCCAAACCGCCTTAGACCCCCCAAGCACTGACACCCCATTGGGCACCTCACAGGTCACTGGAATCGAGGGGGTAGGACACCCCCAAACCCCATCGGACCCCCCCCCCGGGATCTCCACTGGTTATTTATGGGGCGCAGCCCCCCCCCATGTACAGTATTTATTGGCTCCTACTTAAAGAAGCTTGGCGTGTGTCACGCGTGTGTCATACATGTGTCGGGTGTTGTGCTCTGGGCCTTTTTTTTGGGCAGGATGGTGGGAGCTATGGCAATGAGCGTGAGCATCGCCATGGGGATGGGGAGGTGTTGCCGTGGGGATGGGGAGGTGTTGCCGTGGGGATGGGGAGGTGTTGCCGTGGGGATGGGGAGGTGTTGCCGTGGGGATGGGGAGGTGTTGCCGTGGGGATGGGGAGGTGTTGCCGTGGGGATGGGGAGGTGTTGCCGTGGGGATGGGGAGGTGTTGCCATGGGGATGGGGAGGTGTTGCCATGGGGATGGGGAGGTGTTGCCGTGGGGATGGGGAGGTGTTGCCGTGGGGATGGGGAGGTGTTGCCGTGGGGATGGGGAGGTGTTGTGCTGTCACCATGGCGACAGGAGGATGGGGGGATCTCGTCTCCATGGAAACACACGGGGGGGGGGCGTGGAGCGTCTCCATAAACACCGCGCGGGGGGGGCGGGGAACGGACCCGTCTCCATGGCAACCCGCGGGGGGAGGAGGAGGGTGGGGGAGTGTCACTGTCTCCATGGCAACCCCCCTACCACCCGATGACATCACCCCAGCTCTGGCCCCGCCCCCCTCCTCCTCCCATTGGCTGCTGGAGCCGCCGCTCCCGCTCTCCCCTCCCACCCCGTTACGGGGCGGGGCTTGAGGCTCCGCTGTGCTTCAGAGCGCGCTCCCATTGGTGGGTGCCGCTGTCCGTCAGCGCCGCTCTTAAAGGGCCCGCGCACCCTTTGCGGAGCCGGGCGCGGGGGGGGGGGGCTCGTTCTGTACCGGGGGGGGGGGGGCCGGCGGCGGCCGCGGGGCTCGGGCGGGCCCGGGGAGCGGCGGGGGCCTGGAACCGGGATTGAACGGGCCACGGGCAACGACCCCCCCCGGGGCCCCCTCCCCGCCGGGCCGCATCCTTCAGCTGGAGCTGCCGCAGCGCCCAGCGCAGCGCAGGTAAGAGCCGGGCCTGAGCCCCCCCCCGCACCCGGCATCGCCACCGCCATCACCCCCCCCCACTGCATCCCCACTGCATCCCCATCACCCCCTCACTGCATCCCCACTGCATCCCCACTGCATCCCCATCACCCCCCCACTGCATCCCCATCACCCCCCCACTGCATCCCAGTCACCCCCCCATTGCATCCCCATCACCCCTTCACTGCATCCCCATCACCCCCCCACTGCATCCCCATCACCCCCCCACTGCATCCCCACTGCATCCCCATCACTCCCCCCACTGCATCCCCATCACCCCCCCATTGCATCCCCATCACCCCCCCACTGCATCCCCATCACCCCCTCACTGCATCCCCATCACTCCCCCCACTGCATCCCCACTGCATCCCCATCACCCCCCTCACTGCATCCCCATCACCCCCCCACTGCATCCCCATCACCCCCCCAGCATCCCCATCACCCCCCCCACTGCATCCCCATCACACCCCCAGCATCACCATCACTACCACTCCCCCAGTGCATCCCCATCACACCCCCTGCCATTGCATCCTACAGAGCATCCCACATCCTCCCCCATTGCATCCCAAATCCCACCCTACTGCTTCCCCATTGACACCCCCATTTACCCTCCTATTGCACTCCAGCATCCCTCATTGCCTCCCATTAACCCTCTCCATTGACCCCACATTCTGTCCCATTGATCATCCCATTGCACCCCAGCATCCCCACACAGACTCCCTATTGACATCTCCATTGACATCCCCATTGACCCCCACACTGACCCTTCCATTAACCCCCTCCATTGACCCTCATTGCACCCCACATACCATCCCATTGCCCCCACATTGCACCCCAGCATCCCCTCATTGTAGAGCCACCCATTGTTCCTCCCACTGCACCCCAGCATCCACCCCATTGGCCCCACATCCCGTCACACTGACCACTCCATTGCATCCTATTGCACCTCCCAATGTTACCCCCCCAGGCCTCTTTGCACCCCCCATTCCATCGCCAGTGCGATTCCATCACCCTCACTTTTACCCTTTTCCACCAATTGCACCCCCAAACTCCCCATTGCACCCTTAATTCCCCCCCACCCATGACCCTGAGGTCCTAAACCCTCCATTGCCCCCCATTGCTCCCTATTGCCACCCACTGCACTTTATTGCACCCCCACTGCATCCTCATTGCCCCCTCATTGCTCCCCATTGCACTTCATTGCCCTCCCCCATTACATCCCCCATTGCACCCCCTCGTGCCGTGTGTTGGTGACACCCTCCCATCGCAGGCAGGGCTCTGGGTCAGGGCGATGTGATCAGTGACCCCATCGTGATGCAGGCAGGATGAGGTGTGAGGTGCTGTCATGTGTGTGCTGTCACATGTATGATGTCACATGTGTGCTGTCACGTGTATGCTGTCACATGTGTGCTGTCACATGTGTGCTGTCACATGTGTGACACCCCACGTGTCCCGCAGGCAGGCTGATGTGCGAGGTGCTGTCACGTGTGTGCTGTCACGTGTATGCTGTCACATGTGTGCTGTCACATGTATGCTGTCACATGTGTGACACCCCACGTGTCCCGCAGGCAGGATGATGTGCGAGGCTCTGTCATGTGTGTGCTGTCACGTGTGTGCTGTCACGTGTCCCGCAGGCAGGATGATGTGCGAGGCGCTGTCACGTGTGTGCTGTCACGTGTCCCGCAGGCAGGACGATGTGCGAGGCTCTGTCACGTGTGTGCTGTCACGTGTGTGCTGTCACGTGTCCCGCAGGCAGGATGATGTGCGAGGCGCTGTCACGTGTGTGCTGTCACGTGTCCCGCAGGCAGGATGATGTGCGAGGTGCTGCCCACCATCAGCGAGGACGCGCGGCGCGGGTCGGGCGCGCCCGAGGAGCCGGGGCTGGAGCCGCTCATGGTGCAGATGCTGCGGGAGCGGGAGCGGCTCCTGGACACGCTGCGGGACACGCAGGACGCGCTGGCCACGGCGCAGCTGCGCATGCGCGACCTGGCCCACGAGAAGGAGCTGCTGCAGCGCCAGCTCGCGTGCGCGCTGCCTCAGGTGGGCGGGGCTTCTCCGGCACGTGCGCTGCCATAGGTGGGCGGTAGGTGAAGGGGCGGGGACTCGGGGGGTGGGGGGTAATATGGTTGTGGCCAATGGAAAAGTGTGGCTAACGGAGGGGGCGGGGCCAGATGCCACGGTGTTGGATGGGCGGAGATAAGAGGAGGGGGCGTGGCTTGCTTGGGGGCGTGGTTTAGATAGGGTGTGGCCGTGACCCCTCCGTGGCCCCCCAGGAGCTGGCGGCGCTGACCAAGGAGCTGAACCTGTGCCGGGAGCAGCTCCTGGAGCGGGAGGAGGAGATCGGGGAGCTCAAAGCCGAGAGGAACAACACCCGGGTGAGGCCTCGTGCCCCATAGCCCGTGCCCCATAGCCCATAGCCTGTGCCCCATACCCACAACCCCTATCCCATGCCCCATATCCCCTATCCCATACCCCATATCCCATATCCCATACCCCATAGCCCCTATCCCATACCCCATATCCCATAGCCCCTATCCCATAGCCCCTATACCCTATCCCATATCCCATAGCCCCTATCCCATACCCCATACCCCATATCCCATACCCCATATCCCATAGCCCCTATCCCATGCCCCATATCCCATAGCCCCTATCCCATACCCCATATCCCATATCCCATAGCCCCTATCCCATGCCCCATATCCCATAGCCCCTATCCCATACCCCATATCCCATATCCCATAGCCCCTATCCCATGCCCCATATCCCATACCCCATATCCCATACCCCATATCCCATAGCCCCTATCCCATACCCCATACCCCATACCCCATAGCCCCTATCCCATGCCCCATATCCCATAGCCCCTATCCCATACCCCATATCCCATAGCCCCTAGCCCCTAGCCCCTATCCCATGTCCATGTCCCAGCTGCTCCTGGAGCACCTCGAGTGCCTGGTGTCCCGCCACGAGCGCTCCCTGCGGATGACGGTGGTCAAGCGCCAGGCTCAGTCCCCCGCTGGCGTCTCCTCCGAGGTCGAGGTGCTCAAAGCCCTCAAGTCCCTCTTTGAGCACCACAAGGCCCTGGATGAGAAGGTGGGCGCTGGGGGGGGGGGGGTGCTGGCTCCCTGGGGCTCCCACGGGGTCTAAAGGGGGTGCAGAGGGGTTGTGCAGGCACCCAAGGGGGAGGCTCCTGCTGCTCGGGTCACCCCACGCTGTCCTCAGCAGGTCCGGGAGAGGCTGCGGGTGGCTCTGGAGCGAGTGGCTGTGCTGGAGGAGGAGCTGGAGGTCTCCAACCAGGAGGTGGGGTGACAATGCAGAGGGGGTGTCTCCATGGTGGAGCCACCCCATGGGTGGGTGTCCTCACGTCCCCATACCCCATATCCATATCCCGCAGGCTCTGTCCCTCCGGGAGCAGCTCTCCCGGCGCCGTTCCGGCGTGGAGGATGCACCCAGCGATGGGGACATCCCGGTACGAACGGCCATGGGTTATTATAGCCATGGGGGGGGGGGGTCAATGTTTGGGGTCCCCCCCATTGTCCCGGTACGAACGGCCATGGGTTATTATAGCCATGGGGGGGGGGGGGGTCAATGTTTGGGGTCCCCCCCATTGTCCCCGTTGCCCGCAGGCCGCGGGCGAGGGCCGGCGCCGGGAGCTGGAGCTGGAGGCGTCGCTGTGCCGGCAGCGCGCCGTGGCCGCGGCGCAGCGGGAGCGCGCGGCCGCCATGAGCCGGCAGCTGGCCCGGCTGCAGGACGAGGCGGCCGCGGCCCAGCGCGAGCTCGCCCGCGCCCAGGAGAGCGGCGCCAAACTGCAGCGGGACCTCAAGGAGGTGAGCGCCGGGCTGGGAATGGGGGGAATGGGGACAAACGGCAGCGCCCCCCTCAGACTGGTTCCAGGCCATCCCCATCCCTGGGGTGTCCTCTGCCCCATCCCATCCCCCTCCTTGTCCCTGCCCCCCCCGTTGCCAGGCGCTGGCGCAGCGGGAGGACATGGAGCAGCGCATCGCCACGCTGGAGAAGCGGTACCTGAGCGCCCAGCGCGAGGCCACGTCCCTGCACGACGCCAACGACCGCCTGGAGAACGAGCTGGCCAGCAAGGACTCGCTCTACAGACAGGTGGGGGTGGGGTGAGGTGGGTTTGGGGGGGTCACGGCACGGGGACCCCCCCCGCTGAGCCCCCCCATGCACAGAGCGAGGAGAAGGGGCGGCAGCTGCAGGAGTGGCTGGAGGATGCCAAGGCCAAGCTCCAGCAGACGCTGCAGAAGGCTGAGACCCTGCCCGAGATCGAGGCCCAGCTGGCCCAGAGGGTGGCAGCACTGACCAAGGTGGGACACGGCGGGGGTGAGGGGGCCTGGGGGGGCTTAGGGGGGGCTCTGATGTTCTCCATACCCCGTACCCCATACCCCGTATCCCATAACTCATGTCCCGTACCCCATACCCCATGTCCCATACCCCCTATCCCATATCCCATGTCCCATATCCCACATCCCATTCCCAGGCTGAGGAACGCCATGGGAACTTCGAGGAGCGGCTCCGGCAGCTCGAGGCCCAACTGCAGGAGAAGAACCAGGAGCTGCAGCGGGTGCGAGATGGGACCCCTACAATTGGGACCCCCCCCCCCCATACAGGGACCTGGGGGGGGGGATGCTGAGCACACTCAAGGGGTGCATTTGGGGGATCCCTGGGGGGTCAATAGTGGGGTCACCATTGCCCGGTTTCGGGGCTCCCCCCAGGCCCGGCAGCGGGAGAAGATGAACGATGAGCACAACAAGAGGCTCTCGGAGACCGTGGACCGGCTCCTGAGCGAGTCCAACGAGCGCCTCCAGCTCCACCTCAAGGAGCGCATGGGAGCGCTGGAGGAGAAGGTGGGGGTGATGGGCTTTGGGGTGTCCCGGGGGTGCCCCCAGCTCCTTCTGGGGCTCTCCCATCCCCTGAACCCCCATAATCCCCCCCCACAGAACTCACTGAGTGAAGAAATCGCCAACATGAAGAAGCTGCAGGACGAGCTGCTGCAGAACAAGGTCTGGGAGGGGTCAATGGGGGTCTGGGGGGGGGGGTCCCCATCACTGACCCCTCCTCAACACCCCCCAGGAGCAGCTCCTGGCCGAGATGGAGCGGATGCAGCTGGAGCTGGACCAGCTCCGGGGGCGCCCCACATCCTCCTACTCCAGGTACCACTGGGACCCCCCCACTTACCCCCCCCATACGGGACCCCCCCATATGGGACTCCCCCTAACGTGCCTCTGGGGGGGCCGGGCCGCTCTCCCCCCCCCCCGTGCTCCCCCCCAGGTCCCTGCCCGGCAGCGCCCTCGAGCTCCGGTACCCCCAGAGCCCCGCCGGGGGCCCCCCCCTGGAGCCCTACGGCCCCGCCGCCCCCCCCCGCCGCTCACGCAAGGGGCGCTGGGCCCCCCCCATGGAGGACGCTACCAAGGTGTGTGTGTGGGGGGGGTTCTTTGGGGGGTCCGCGAGTCCCTTTGTGACCCTGACCCCCCGCCGGCTGCAGGAGCCGGTCGCTGTCCCTGTGCCGGTCCTCACCCCATTCCCTGTCCCCATCCTCACCCCATTCCCTGTCCCCATCCTTACCTTCACCCTTACCCCTGCCGCTCCCATCCCCATCCCCATCCTCACCCCATTCCCTGTCCCCATCCTCACCCCATTCCCTGTCCCCATCCTCACCCCATTCCAACCCCATCCCTGTTCCATCCCCTCCCGGCAGGGCTCGGATTGGGATCGGGTCCCTCCGGAGCCGGCCGAGGGCTCGGACGAGGAGGGCGCTGCGGGGGGGGGGGCGGACCTGTCCCCCGGCGCCCATCCGGACGTGCAGACGCTGGCGGTGCTGCTGCAGGAGCAGCTCGAGGCCATCAACAAGGAGATCAAGTGCGGGGGGGGGGACCCCGAAATCGGGGGGGGGGGGGAAGGACGCCGTAGGGACCCCAAATCACTGGGGGGGGAATTCCCCAAACATGGGGACACCAAAATCCAAGGGACCTGCCCCAAAGGGGTCAATGGGGACAATGGGGGGGGTTCCTGTCTGCAATGGGGGTCATTGGGGCTCAGGCCCCCCCTGTCCCCCCCTCCCAGGCTGATCCAGGAGGAGAAGGAGAGCACGGAGCTGCGCGCGGAGGAGCTCGAGAGCCGCGTCGGGGGCGGGCCGCTGGACGGGACCCCCCCCTCGAGCTCTGGGCGCTACCGAGGAGGGGGCGGGGCTGGGGGCGGGGCCTCGCTGCCCCCCTCCCTCACCAGCTCCACCCTGGCCAGTCCCTCCCCCCCCAGCAGCGGCCGCTCCACGCCCCGCCCCGCCCCCCCCAGCCCCGCCCGCGAGGTCAGTGACACCCCCCCATGGGGGAACCCCATTAATGGCACCCAAAACGGGGAGGGGGAGGGGTGTGTTTCGCGACCCCCCCCCCCAAAATCCCGTCCCTGTGTCCTCCCCTCCCCCCAGAACCACGTCCCCAAGGAGGAGCCGCGGGGGGGGGAGGAGAAGGGGCCGAGCCCCGGGGACTCCTCCGGCGCCCCCCGAATCCCCCGAGCGGAGCGGGGAGGCCCCACCTCGGCGCTGGAAGAGGGGCGAGAGCCACGGGTGGGGTAAGTTGAGGCGGTGGGGGTCCCATGGGGTGATATTGGGGTGCGGGGGGGGGTCCTTTTCGTTGGTCTCTTTCACCCCATGCGAGGGGTTCCGGGGGGGTGTTTGGGGGTGCCGGGGGGTGCAGCCGGTGGCTGCCCCCCCTCCCCCCCCCGTTCCCAGGCTGGTCCCCGAGGCCCCCGGGACCCCCCCGGACCCCCTGCACAAGACCCCCAAGAAGAAAAGCATCAAATCCTCCATCGGGCGCCTCTTCGGCAAGAAGGAGAAGGGGCGGCTCGGCCCCCCCCCGCGGGACGCGGCTCCCCTCGGTGCGACCCCCACCCCCCCGAGCACCCTATCGGGAGCCCTATAACCCCCATCCCATAGGGATCCCCCCATCGCACCCTATAGAGACTCCCATAAACCCACCCTATAGGGACCCCCTCATAGCACCCAGGGGAGCCCCAAAACCCCCACCCCAAAGGGACCCCTCCACATCCGGGTACCCCAAGTCCTCATCCCATAGGAACCCTTATATATAGGTGACCCCCATAACCACACCCCGCTCCCCAAATGGACTCCCCACATCCAGGGTCCCAATATCCCCCCCCCCCAACGGACCCCCATATCTGGATACCCTGGTTCCCCCCATCCAGGTACCCCATAGGGACACTGCCCACGGCCGGAGGCACCCCACAACCCCACCCCCTAGGGTCCCCCACACCCAGCCACCCTGTTACCCTCCCCATAGCACCCATGTGCATTGGGGGCTCTCACCCTGTGTCCTCCCCCCCCCCCGCCCCGCAGCCGGCACCCCCTCGGAGGAGCTGGGCCCCCCCGATGCGCTGGGCCTGGCCAAGCTGCCAGGGGCTGTGGACAAGGACCGGCGGAGCAAGAAAAAGTGAGGGGGGGAATTTGGGGTGCTGGGGGGGGGAATTGGGGCACTTTGGGGGGGGCCTGGGTGCAATGGGGGTCCCCAACCTTTGCTCCCCCCCCCTCAAGGCACGAGCTGCTGGAGGAGGCCTGCCGGCAGGGCCTGCCCTTCGCTGCCTGGGACGGGCCCACGGTGGTGTCATGGCTGGAGGTGAGGGCGGGGGCCGGTACCAGGGACCCCAACGGGGCGGGGGGGGGGAACCACACCGGGAGGGGGCAGCGCGCACCACAGCGCACGGAGGGCTCCGGGTGTCGGGGTACGGACCGCCATGGGATGACCCGGATGTTCGGTCCCCGGTTGTGGGTGGGTTGTGCGGGTGACCCGGATGTTGGGGAGGGGGGGTGGTCCCTTGTTCGTGTCCCGGGTGGGCATGCCCAGGGTGACCTGGATGTTGGTGGGGTACCGCACCCGCTGTTGAGCTTGGTTACCATAGTGAACAGTGACCCGGATGTTGTGGACTGTACCACTCTGCGGAGAGAGGGGTGCCGTGCCTCATGGTGGCTGTATCCCTCTATGGGGGATAACCGTGATGCTGCCCCCGTTCCCCCCCCCCCGCAGCTGTGGGTGGGCATGCCCGCCTGGTACGTGGCGGCGTGCCGGGCCCGCGTGCGCAGCGGCGCGGCGCTGGCGGCGCTGACGGAGCCGGAGCTGCAGCGGGAGCTCGGCATCAGCCACGCTCTGCACCGCCTCAAGCTGCGCCTCGCCGTGCAGGAGATGGTGTCCCTGACCAGCCCCGCCGCGGCGCAGCCCCCGCCCAGGGTCCGTGGCACCGGCCGAGGGCCCGCGTTGGGGGTGATGGAAGGGGCTTTGGGGGTGATTATGGGGCTCGTTGGAGCATCTGAAGGGGCTTTGGGGGGTGATGGAAGGGGGGTTTAGGGGTGATTATGGGGCTCGATTTGGAGCATCTGAAGGGGCTTTGGGGGGTGATGGAAGGGGCTTTGGGGGGTGATTATGGGGCTCGGGAGGGGGGTTTGGAGCATCTGAAGGGGCTTTGGGGGGTGATGGAAGGGGGCTTTGGGGGTGATTATGGGGCTCGTTTGGGGCATCTGAAGGGGTTTGGGGGGTGATGGAAGGGGGTTTAGGGGTGATTATGGGGTTCGGGGGGGGTTTGGAGCATCTGAAGGGGGCTTTGGGGGGTGATGGAAGGGGGGTTTAGGGGTGATTATGGGGCTCGTTTGGAGCATCTGAAGGGGCTTTGGGGGTGATGGAAGGGGGTTTAGGGGTGATTATGGGGCTCGGGGGGGGGGTTTGGAGCATCTGAAGGGGCTTTGGGGGTGATGGAAGGGGGTTTAGGGGTGATTATGGGGTTCGGGGGGGTTTGGGGCATCTGAAGGGGTTTGGGGGTGATGGGGGGCTGTGACCCGTGTTTGTGCCCCCCCCCCAGTCCTCGGGGAACGTGTGGGTGACGCACGAGGAGATGGAGTCCCTGACGGCCACCTCCAAACCGGTGAGGGGGGGGGGCGCGGGGTTAGGGTTTGGGGGGGGGTGTCGAGGGTGTGAGCGGGACCCCCCCCCTAACGCCTCTGCCCCCCCCCCCCTTCCGCTGCCAGGAGAGCAGAGAGATCAGCTGGGAGCAGGTACGGGAATGGGGGGGGGCGGGGGGGCTGTGCCCGGGGGTCCTGGAAGGGATAACGGGGGTGGAAAGGTCCTGGCAGGTCTATAGGAGGGTAAGGGCTTGGCAGGTTTATGGGGAATTGTGTTAATGTCCTGGCAGGTGTATAGGGAATTATGTTAAGGTCCTGGTAGATGTATAAGGAATTACGTTAATGTCCTGGCAGGTCTATAAGGGATTACATTAAGGTCCTGGTAGGTGTATAGGAAACGATAATAGGGTCCTGGCAGGGTTATGGGTGGGCTGGACACAGGAAGGTCCTGTCAGGTTCATAGAAGCTTAATTTAAGGTCTTGGCAGGTCTATAGGGGTTTATGTTAACGTCCTGGCAGGTCTATAGGAGATTATGTCAATGTTCTGGTAGGTCTGTAGGGGATTACATTAAGGTTCTGGTAGGTGTATAGGAAATGATAACGGGGTCCTGGCAGGGTTTTGGGTGGGCTGGACCACAGGAAGGTCCTGTCAGGTCTATAGAGGAGTCAAGCCAAGTCCTGTCAGGTCCATAGAGGAGCCCAGTGAGGTCCTGTTTGGTGCATACAGGCTCTCTGGCAGGTCCTGGCAGGTCTCTAGCGGGGGTAGATGTCAGGTGCATGGTGGCACCGGGGAGGTGGTGGCCCTGCCGTTGCCACGTGGCCCTGTCCCCAGATCTTGGCCTATGGGGACATGAACCACGAGTGGGTGGGCAACGAGTGGCTGCCCAGCCTGGGGCTGCCCCAGTACCGCAGCTACTTCATGGAGTCCCTGGTGGACGCGCGGATGCTGGATCACCTCAGCAAGAAGGAGCTTCGGGGGCAGCTCAAGATGGTCGACTCCTTCCACCGGTCCGGGGGGGGCCCCCAGAGACACCCCAGAATGCACTGGGGGGGGGGAACCGGGGGGCAAAGGGGGGGGAAGGGGATGGAGGACCCTCAGTTGGGGAGGGGAGGGGCTGTGGGGTGGGGGGATCCCCCCCAAAGTGACCTCAGGAGACTTGGGGTGAGCGCTTGACCCCCACACTGGGACCCCCGTGGTGACCCTGGCACCCCCCTGGGCACTTGGGGTGACTCCAGAACCCGTGAATGCGACCCCAGGGTGACCCCATGGAGCTGCTGGGACCCCCACCCCCCCCCGGGGTCATGACCCTGAGTGTGACCCCAGCCCCGGCCATGGTGACCCCATGGAGCTGCTGGGACCCGCCCCCGGGGTCATGACCCTGAGTGTGACCCCAGCCCTCCCCCTGGGACCCCCACACATCCCCTGTGCCCTCCCCCCCAGTGTGAGCCTCCACTATGGCATCATGTGCCTGAAGCGCCTCAACTACGACCGCAAGGAGCTGGAGCGGAGGCGGGAGGAGAGCCAGGCCCAGAGCACCGGTATGGGGCACTGGGGGGCACTGGGGGGGGCAGAGCCAGGCCCAGAGCACCGGTATGGGGCACTGGGGGGCAGAGCCAGGCCCAGAGCACCGGTATGGGGCACTGGGGGGCACTTGGGTCGTGCCGTGGGTCACTATGGGGGTGTGTGTGGGTTGCTATGGGGGTGTGTGTGGGTCGCTGTGGGGGTGTTTCTGTGGGTCGCCATGGGGGTGTGTGTGGGTCACTGTGGGGGTGTTTCTGTGGGTCACTGTGGGTCGCTGTGGGGTTGTCTGTGGGTCACCCTGGGGGTCTCTGGGTCGCCACGGGGGTGTCTGTGGGTCACTGTGGGTGGTGATGGGGGTGTTTCTGTGGGTCACTGTGTGTGTTGCCATGGGGTGTGCGTGGGTCTGTCCACGTGACCATGGGCGCTCCCCCCCAGACGTGGTGGTTTGGTCCAACGAGCGCGTGAGCGCGTGGGTGCAGAGCGTGGGGCTGCGGGAGTTCGCGCGGCACCTGCCGGGCTCGGGCGTGCACGGGGCGCTGCTGGCGCTCGATGACTCCTTCGACTGGGCCGACCTGGCCCTGCTGCTGCAGATCCCCACCCAGAACACACAGGTGGGGGCACTGGGGGGGCGCTGGTGTCACTGGTGTCACTGGTGTCACTGGTGTCACTGGTGTCACTGGTGTCACTGGTGTCACTGGTGTCTACTGGTGTCACTGGTGTCACTGGTGTTTACTGGTGTCACTGGTGTCTGTGCTCCAGGCACGGCAGCTGCTGGAGAAGGAGTTCAGCGCCCTCCTCAGCGCGGGCACTGACCGGCGCCTGGAGGAGGTGGGGACCCCCCCCCGTGTGTGACCCCCCCGTGTGTGACCCCCCCCGTGTGTGACCCCTCCCCCCATGTGTGACCCCTTCCCCCCATGTGTGACCCCCTCCCCCCCGTGTGTGACCCCTTCCCCCCGTGTGTGACCCCCCATGTGTGACCCCCTCCCCCCCGTGTGTGACCCCTCCCCCCCGTGTGTGACCCCCTCCCCCCCGTGTGTGACCCCCCCGTGTGTGACCCCTCCCCCCCATGTGTGACCCCTCCATTCCCCCCCCAGGATGGGTCGAAGCCCTTCACCCGCTCCCCCTCCTGGCGGAAGCTGTTCCGGGAGAAGGAGCTGCGTGGGGGGGGCCCTGACCCCGAGATGCTGCCCCCCAACTTCCGGGGGGGGCCCCTCAGCACCCCCCCTCTGCCTCTGCGCAAGCTGCAGCCCGATGGTGAGTTATGGGGGAGATATGGGGGGGGATATGGGGGGGATACGGGGGTAACGGGGGGATATGGGGGTAATGGGGGGCTTATGGCATACGGGGGGTATAGGAGGTTATGGGGGGCTTGGAGAGGGGATATGGGGGGTAATGGGGGCTTATGGCATACAGGGGGTATAGGGGTTTATGGGGGGCTTGGAGAGGGGATATGGGGGTAATGGGTTTATGGCATACGGGGGGTATGGGGGGTAATGGGGAGATAATGGGGGGCTACAGGGTTGTGTCACATGACCTTATTCCGCCTTGTTCCCCCCCCCAGGTAACTCCCTGCCCCCACAGAGGGGGGAGGGGGTCTCGGTGCGGACGTACTCGTGTTAACGGTGAGGGGGGGATGGGGATGGGGGGGGAGGGGCTGTTTGGGCCCCCCCCTCACTTTTCACCCCCCTCTTTCCAGGTGCCCTCAAGCAATGGATGAAGCCTGATGGGGGGACTGCCAAAGCCCCCCCCAAAATCACCCCCCCCCAATATGGGGTCTTGGGGGGAGGTATTTGGGGGCCCCCTTGAGCCTCGTGTTTTCAGTTCTGCTGCTATGAATGGGGTGGGGGGGAGTTGGGGGTCCCCCCCTCCCGAACCTACAACAGTGACACCCCCCCTCGGACCCACCCCCCCCTCTTTTTAATGGCCTCGTTTTGGGGGGGGGGAAGGGGTGGGGGGTGCATGGAACTAATAAAAATGGGGGGACCCCCCCAAATGATGAGGTTGTGGGTTTGACCCCACTTTGACCCTCTCTACACCCCCATTTTCCCCCTATTTCATCCTATAGGCTCCCCCCAAACCCCTCGACTTCCCCCTAAATCCCCCTCTGCACCCCCAGAACCTCCAGGACCCCCTTCATCCACCCTATAGCCCCCCCATGGTTCCCCCATATATCATCATCACTTCAGACCTTTTATTTGCAGCCCCCTCTCGCCCTGGGGGGCACAGTGCTATGCACACAGGCTGCAATGGGAGCTATGGGTGTGTGTCCCCCAAAACCCCCCCCAAATCCATTCAGGCCTCTGGTACCTCGAAGAAGCTGGAGAGGGACCTGCAGGGGGCACAAAGGGGGTTAAACTGGGGGGGGGACACCCCAAAATGGGGGCAGGGAGGGTTTGGGGGGGCACTTACTGCAGGAAGGCCCCTGAGAGCTCGTCCATGAGGCTGCCTGGGGGGGAGAAGTGGGGTTGGGAGGTGTCAGGGATGGGGGTAAGGGGGGTCCTGAACCTCCTTATGGGGGCTTGGGGGGCTTTGGGACAACCCCAATGGGGCTCAAGGAGAGCTGGGGGGCCCTGGCTGAGCTATCGGCTGTTGGGGGGTGCTAGAGAGGGTTTGGGGGTCTGAGGTCCCTCTATGGGAATGAAAGGGGTTTTTAAATGGGGGGGGGGTCCTGGACTCTGCTCTGGGTCTGAGGGGGCATTGGGGAGGGGTTGGACCCCCCAAAAGGGGGTGGGGAGGGGTTGGAGTGGGGTCTGGGGGGGTTTATGGGGTGTTGGGGGGGGTCTATGGGGGTGTAAGAGGGGTTTGGGGCTGGAGGGGATGGGGGGGGTCTGGAGCCACCCATGGGGGTGAATGGAGGGGTTTGGGGGGGTCCTGGACTCTCCTATGGAGGTAAGAGGGGAAGGGTGGGGGGGTTTAGACCCTCAAGTGAATGGGGGGGGGCTCTTGGGGTGCTGGAGGGTCCTGGGGGGGGGGGCTTTAGGATGGCTCTGGACCCCCTGATGGGGCTGGAAATGGGGGGGTTTGGGGTGTGTTAAGGGGGTGTTTTGGGGTGGGGGGTGTCTCACCGGGCTGGCAGGCCGTGTCACACAGCAGGGGACACAGGTAACAGAACTGGCAGCCCTGGGGGGAGCACGGGGGGGGCATCAATAGGGGTGCAAATGGGTGTAATGGGGGGGGGGCGGTGGGTTTGGGGTTACCTCACAGTGCGGACAGGGCTCCCCCTCGGCGCAGGGGCAGTGAGTGCAGTGCTCGCAGCGCTGGAAATGGGGAGGTCAGGGGGGGTCCAGCACCTCCATGGGTGTCCAGCACCCCTTTGGTGCCCCAAGCCCCCACTTCAGTGCCCTTAACCCCCCATTTTGTGTTCTCAGCCTCCTCCCCCCCCCTTTTTGGGGTCCCCCCCTTTTTGGGGTGCCCCCCCCTTTTTGGGGTGCCCCCCATCGTTGTACCCAATTGTGCAGTTTCTCCCCCTGCCCCATTACCTTGCATAAGGTGCAGTAGCGGCAGATGGAGCCGGGCCGGTACCGGCCTTCATTCTCCTCCTCCTCCTCCTCCTCCTCCTCCCTCCCTGTTAATGGGGGGTGTTATCCTGTATTTGGGGTGCCCCCCCGCTCCCCCACTTATAGCACCCACTGACATCCCATGGCCTGACCTTCATCCTCTCTGGAGGAGGCATCATCATCTTCATCATCATCCTCATCATCTTCCTCCTCCTCCTCCTCCTCTTCCTTGGAGCTGGGGGGATCACCGTGGCCATGGGGGCGCTGGCCTTCGTTGCCATGGTGATGGTGGCTTTCATCATCATCCCCATGGTGATGGTGGCCTTCATCTTCATCATCGTGGAGGTGGCTGGAGTGGTCCTGAGGAGGAGGATGAAGGTTGCAGCCTTCATCCCCCGCCCCATGGTTGTCGTGGTTGTGGCCTTCATCATCCCCATGGGGACCATCAGAAGGGTCCTTGTTGCCATGGTGATGATGGAGGTCCCCATGGCGGGGATGATGATGGTCTTCATCACTGTGAGGATGATGATGGAGCTCCAGGTTGCCATGGTTATGATGGGGGTCTCCATCACCGTGCTGCTGACGAAGAGGGGTTCCCCTGTCGCAATGGTGATGAGAGGGGGGTTCCCTGCTGCTGTCAGGATGCTGCTGCTCCTCATCGCCATGGTGATAACGGAGCTCCCCATCCTCACCGCCGTGGCCTTCCCCGTTGCCATGGTGACAGTGGGTCCCCCCATCGCTAGGGTGATACCGGTGACCAGGGGGTTCCCCGTCACCCCCCTCGTTGCCATGACGACCCTGGCATCCCCCTTCTCCTTCCCCACAGCCATGGGGCTGCTCCCCGTTGCCATGGTGACCGTGGGGAGGGGGTTCCCCCCCTGCTTTCACCCCCCCCAACAGCAACAGCCCCAACAACAGCCCCAGGAGCCCGCTCGGGGCCATGGCGGCGGCTGCAGTGAGTGACAGGCCCGGCTGCACCCCTCCCCCACCCCCCCTCTCCTCCCCCACCCCATAAACACCAACCATGGGGGGGCAAAGGGGGGATTTGCCTGTGTGTGTGCGGGCAGCACCAGCCCCATAGATCCACATCACCCTCCCACAGCAAATGGGCTTGCCCCACACTTGGGGGGCAGCCCCATAAGTGGGATACGGGGGGGGGCAGGGTGAGAAATGGGGCTATAAATAGACACTATTAGGGGGAGGGGGTGGTCACACGGTGCTGCAGGGGGTTGTGGGTAATGGGGGGCACGCAGGGACATGCGGGGGCACGAAGGACAGTGGGGGGGTTGGAAGGGGGGGACCGGCCTTGACTTGGGGGGCAGGCGGGGGTGGGGGTGGGAGATAAAGGGCGTGTCTCCCAAGTGGCGGCAGCCCCACAGCAAGATGGGGGGACCACAGGTGAGGATGTGGGGGGGCACTTGTGGGGCTCGGGGGGGGGGAAGATGGGCACTCCCATCCATGGGGCAGAGGTGGGGCAGGGACACCCACATCAGTGGGGCAGGAGGAGGCCATGGGGTCCTTCAGCAATAGGGCGGATGTGGGGGAGGGTGATCCCCATCAATGGGGCAGGCAGAGGCCATGGGTACTCCCATCTATGGGGCAGATGTGGGGTGGGGGGTGCGGCATCTCTGGGTCACTTCTGGGGCTGCTCCATAGGTGCTGGTGCTGGTGCTGCTGACGGGGACCCCCACTGCCTTGGGCACCCCCATTGCTATCGGCAGTGCCATGGGGCTGGAGGGGCCACTGCTTGTGGGGGGCCCCATGGCGGGGGTGGCCGTTCCCGAGCGCCCCCCATGTCGCCCCATCAACGTGACGGTGGCCCTGGAGAAGGACGAGTGCCCCCAGTGCCGGGCAGTGACAACCACAGCGTGTGGGGGGTACTGCAGGACACGGGTAAACCATGGGGCAGGGGTCACGGGGACACAGGGGGGTACGGGGACACAGGGGGGTACGGGGACACAGGGGGGTACGGGGACACAGGGGGGTACGGGGACACAGGGGGAGGGGGGTACGGGGACACAGGGGGGTACGGGGACACAGGGGGGTACGGGGACACAGGGGGGTACAGGGACACAGGGGGGTACGGGGACACAGGGGGGTACGGGGACACAGGGGGGTATAGGGACACAGGGGGGTATAGGGACACAGGGAAGTATGGGGACACAGGGGGTACGGGGACACAGGGAAGTATGGGGACACAGGGGCGTATGGGGTCGTTGGCTGTGGGGACATGGGGTGTATGGGGAGATAGGGGGCGATATTGGGGTGCTATGGGGGGGTCCCCATCTCATCCATTCCCCCCACAGGGGTCCATGTATCACAGTCCACTGCGTGCCACGGGGTTGTTATAAGGTTCTAAGGTTACTATGGGGTGCTATGGGGGGGGGTGTCCCCTGTCTCACCCCATCATTTCTCCCCCACAGGAGCAGGTGCACTGCAGCCTGCTGGGCATTACGGGGTTCTATGGGTCACTATAGGGCTCCATAGGGTTCTATAAGTATTGCCCCTGTGTACTGCAGCCCTCTGGGTGCTATGGGACACGATTGAGTTACTATAGGGTTCTATGGGTCACTATAGGGCTCTATGGGTCGCAGTAGGGCTCTATGGGTCGCAGTAGGGCTCTATGGGTCGCAGTAGGGCTCTACGTGTCTCTCTCCCCACAGGAGCCCGTGTACCGCAGCCCCCTGGGCACCCCGCCCCAGGCCGCCTGCACCTACCAGGGGGTGCGCTACGAGCGGCGCCTGCTCTTGGGGTGCCCCCCCGGTATCGACGCCTCTGTCCCGGTGCCGGTGGCGCTCGGGTGCCGCTGCGGGCGCTGCCCCATGGCCGCAGCTGACTGCACCGTGCAGGGCCTGGGGCCGGCTTTCTGCGGCGCCCCGGCTGGCTTTGGGCCCCCGTGATGGATCCCCCCCCGCCCCATTCAGTGGCTCTGTAACGGGAGCCCAGTGGGGATGAGACTCAATAAAGGGACCCCTGAGGGGGTTTCGAGCTGCCGTGATGGACCCCCCCCCACTGCGGTGTGGTTTTGGCTGCCAGAGTGGGACCACAGCGGGCGTTGGACTCAATAAAAGGACCCCTTTGATGGGTCTGGGAAGCCGTTATGGATGCTCCCACAGCGCAGCGTGGTAC